ATGTACCCAGACTGCATTTTTTTTATTCTCGGCAATAAATCCACATCATCAGCAGTAAGTAGTTTATTACACAACAGCCTGCAAATTTTGAGACAATTCAACTCTTCCCAAAAATAATCATTTGTGCTTCCACTCGGCTGTCGACGAGCACAGGAAATGAAACGCGGAAATGCCGTGTTCCTCCGACCCTCGTTCCTTATTGCCTGAAGGCTTACCAAAAAAAAAAGGAAATGAAATAAAAAGTGGTCTATTGCGCAGGCATCCCAACACGTAATGAATGTGATAAATCTTTTCGACCTTGCGATTCACACTCGGGGGGAAAAAAATGCCATTCAAAAGTATTTAAAAGGGTGTGAGAGCGAATCAAAGCCATGCTTGGGGTAGAAAATCCCCGGCTTGAATGTATAAATCGACACGCGGTGCCGAGATTACGCAGCTCGTGTGACTCTTCGTATACGACGACGAACGTACGAATGTCTGTTTCTCTTGATGGTTTCTTCTCCAACCGAGTTTCTTCACAACTTGTCCCAGCCCTGATGCATGCAGCTTGTGCCTATTGAATTTCTTTGCTTCTTATAGAGAATAGAACCCCAACAGGCTCACCTTTTTTTTCTTTTCCTTCTCATCCTGTTCTATATAGCTTATATAGTAACACGTTGACGTACGTAGCACATGAGGAACAAAAGGAACACAGTTCTATTTATAAATGGTTTGGAGGACGGCTGTGTGGATGGTGAGCCATAAATCATTTGATAACTTCCGAGTTTAATGCTCTTATTATATATGAAACAGGACCATCATATACCAGCAGGGATGGTTCATAAGTTTTGAATGTTTTTAAATAGATCCAGCCCAGTTTATGCAACTCAAAATGCTTCTTTTCACTTGCAAAGCCCCATTTACAACGCATCAGTGCTGTTTTACGCATGCAGTCTCCGCCAATTTCATTGCATTATTGGTTCCTGTGATGAACCTAATGACGAATACAGTGTCAAAAAGTGATAATAATTTTAAACCTCTTGCAGCAAATGTAGGGATAATTTTGCAAAATTGTACCCCATGAGAGCTGCAAATAATAAAAAAAAAATTTTAACCCAGGCCTAAGCCAGGAAAAACCTGATATTTTTCTTCAATCCTGCAGAAAATTTTGGCTCAAAAATTCTGTGTGGGTTGCATTTTTTCATGCATTCCTAGCATAGCTAGGAATAACTTGAAGGATTTCTTGAGACAATGGGATTTTGTTCACCAGTATTTTTCACTTCTTAGGCCTTAGCAACCTGGGGCATTTCAGTAACCCTTTGGTCAAACTGAAATGCCCCTCCCACAAAAAAAATCCCAAATTTGCCGCAGGACAGCCAGGAACCCTCTGCTGTCCAAGGGATGATACTGTATTTGATCAAACTGCTTTTTGACAATGGAAATGAGGCTGTCACTGACCTAAAAATCAAATATTTTCCCATCATTCTTCTTGGGAACAGTCAAAAGTCACGGATTTTTTTCCCATTGAATCAAGAAGATAACCATCCATTGTCAAAGAGCAACTTATTGATCAACAAACACAATTATCAATTTGTTGCACTATTTTGATCATTGGTTTCACAGCATGAATAAATGCAATGAAATTGGAAGATATTATGTTGAACAGCATTAAAGTGTTGTCAAATTATGGGGCTCTGTGAGAAAAATATGGAATTCCTGAAACTCTGCTGGTGGATCTCTTATCAAAACATTTCAAAACTTATGAACCAACCCTCATACAGAGATGCTGTGGTGCAACTGCCCTAGTGGAAGGACACCAAAAGGTTCCTTTGATGCAGACATTCCTGCAGTGTCCAACTATGCTGGATGGGCTTCTTTGGGGAAAAGGCCTCCTCAAGAAAGTATATGAAAGTACAATTCTATAATTAAAGACTTTCAGGACTCTGATAAAAAAAATTTAACTAATGTTTACACCAAAATCTCAAAGGAATGGGAAGAATGCTAGTTTTACATGATTTCTCCACAAAAATTATCTGTAAATTATTTAATCAATTAGAAATTATTGGGGAAAAGGCTGAACACCTTGAACTTCAATTTTTACTGCTCAATAATTGCCTTTTGGGCTGTGATTTTTGTCATTCAAAAGAAAAGATGACAACTCATGCATATGTATGTACTGTGAGGTCTTTTATTTTTCTAGTGAATTACAGTACTATTATTCCTTCTGATGTGACAGAATGTGTTTGAAAATATGTATGGGGTGTGATTTTTTTTTTCAAACTTCTGAATGCTGACAATAAGCAGCAAACAAAACTTATACAGTATAAAATTAAATTGATCAATCAAAAAATGTTTTTTCTTTATGCACAAAAGGACTGAATAACTATTCTGGGAAACAGGATACACTGCAGTACATTGATTCTGCTTCAAGGTAATGGTATGCGAAGAATTGCAAATTATCTATGAATTTTGATGACAAAATGGAAAACATTCAAAAAGTAAAATAAAATTATATCATTTCAGACCTTTCCTTATATTAAAATTTTCTATAATAAGCATGTCAATCTTACTGAGTATGACGAGCTGAAACAAACGAAAAGAAGAGAATGTATTCATTATTAAGAACTTTGTGTGGTTTGTGCCATGGAATGTAGCAATATAATCATCATCCTTCCAAACATATGTTTTTTTTTAATTAGCCATTTATTTGTGAAATTCAACTGCCATGAAAAATTATCAATACATCTTCATGTCCCCGTTCTGTTATAAAACATTCCGGTATTTGAAGATTCCTGCTCGACATTAATTGCTGATGGGGTTCAAAAAATAATCAATTTCTCCTGTGTCAAAAAATGTGATGCTGCTGTTCATAAAAATACATTGTTATTTCGGTGGGTTGGCGCTCTAAGTTTCACAGCTGCTTGTTATTCAGCATTTATTGATTCCTTCCCAGTAGACTAAGGATTACGATATAGTGAATATACTGCGCTGATTTACAGTACTAGCTGTACGCAGTATATAAAAACAAAGCTGAAGATAACAGTTCTAAAGTGATTCTGAAAGGATGTTACATAAATATTGAGGTGTCATGTATACATGTCATGGAGGCACGTGTCTCATCTATCCTGGCGAGGGAATCTGAAACAAGCGGGATATGAGTTCCATCAAGAACCGTTCTTTGAGATTTTTTTACCTTTTTCCGTTATCGCATTAGCCTGCGAAGTCGTCCATGCTGCAGGCAAGATTTGCTGGTGGATTTTTTTTTGTCATCGAGAGTCAAGTGATGAATACGGCATTATTCGTTCATTATTGCATGATCAGTCGCAAAATAATCATGGAAACTTCTGATCATGAGGTATACAGTAGTAATGAATGCTATACTTATAAGTTACGGGATTACTGATGCTTATTTATATTTAAAGTATGCTGAAATTAAATGTTGAATTTGTACCATTCACATACATGTTTTCTATGCATATATGAAACAATTTACATTCCAGGTGCTGATGGGCTATCTCAATCTTCATCTAAATCTATTATGCTGTTCCACAAAATTCAGAAAACCACAAAAAATCACTATGGGGAATTTCATTACAGTATCTCAAAACAATCAGTGTCCCAACAATAAATTAGATAACTCACTAAAATATGCTGGGATAACAGGCATGTAATGAATTTTAGACTGTTTAATGTGTGTATATATACACTACTGTATACAGAACTGCTGTATGGGACAAATACTACTGATGTACAGTACATGTATATGCAGATACGGAGATCTTTGTAAATAGAGCTTTCAGTGCCTGATATATACAGTATATTCAATTGCTAAAAAATACCCACAGTATTATATTCAATGGATGGGTTTCAGCTGGGACACATTGAAAAAACATTTTATCTAATACATTTACACCGCTCATGAAACCTCCTCAATAAAATCAAGAGCACAAGCATTTCCTGGAATTTGTGCATGATAAATGGTTGCAAATGAAGTGAGTGAATAGCAGGGGAACTGATGCGTGGTGGATGGCTTCACAATTAGATATGAGAAGCACACCTGAATCTGATTAACACTGAATGTGCTGGGGACAGACAGGGAGCGACAGACTTTTGAAAACTTGCAAACTACTGCGAATTTGTGCGTCACGCCCAGCTCCGCCATGCAGGGTACGGGCAACGGAAAAATCCCGACCACCGTGATCCCAACGCCGCGCATCGCCTGTCTTTCCTTGGATGGACAAATTCCTGTACAAATGATGAAAAAGGTTTACAGCCAACCTAACCTAACATAATTCAACATAACTTAACCTCACCTAACTGAATTTAACCCAACCTAATCTAACCCAACCTAACCAAATTTAACCTAACCTAACTTAATTCAACATACACTAACCTATTTACTTACAGTGAATAAACAGAGGAAAATAGCATATTGCATAATTTTACTGTAAACCTTTTTCAAAATTTGTATGGGGGAATGTCCATCCAAGGGAAGACAGGCGATGAACAGCGTTGGGATCACCACTGTAGAGATTTTTCCAGTTTCATCAAGGGAACAGCCATGAACTGGGGTAATGCCTGCGTCCTGCTGTTTGTTGCAATACATCACATAGGTGTCACTCGACTTATGATCGATGACTGCTCTTTCACACCAAAAGAAACAAATCTCACCTTGACTTGAAAGTAGGCTTACATCAGGTAAAGTTCAGTTGTTTTTTGCTAGGTTCGATTAGGTGAGGTAGAGCTAATAGAGCCTATTATAATAGAGGTATACAATAGTTAAGTAGGGCAAAGTTAGTTCAGACAAGAGAACTTATTTCAGGCTTAGTAAATCTTGGCTAGGTCAGGTAAAGTTGAGTTATATTGAATTAGGTTTGCATATTTTAATCGAGGGTAGTTCCTTCTTTTCAAATTTATTGTACAGTACTGTATATTTAGTTGAATTGATGTGTATATAGTGAAGCTACAATAGCCCTTGAGTTTAAGAGCAACGACACCTAGTGTCGTTTCTCTCCACTACCCGCTGCTCATCTTCATCCCGGACTGTGGGGTGGGGGAGGACAGATCCGACTGGCCTTCATTGACGTTCACCGAGGTGAAAAAGCGACTGCTGTTAGGATTGTGAATGGATCAGCTTAAGCGTTGCGCGAATCTCTTCTCTGGCCCTGAGGCTGTGCGGGATGTTCTGCTAGAATTTGCATACTCGGACCTACTCTACATGATCTTATCATGTCTTGGCTCCAACGACCTTCTGTCCTGTCGCGAAGTTTGTTCATCTTGGGTTGCTGTTGTTGACCGAGTTTTTGCTCGACGATCAAGAGGCATCGTGTACCAGTTCGCCATTCATGGATCCAATCCGGAATATTTTGAGAAAACCTTGCGAGTACAGGCAAAAGAACCGCATCGCTGTGCATCGCAACTTCAGAAAGGTATTCTGAGGGATAGTGAATCTTATGCTTAAATCTCGCTGAAGTACTGTGCGTATAGTTTCATCAGGTCTGGAGCGTTATGCAAATATCGCACGGGAAACTTTCGAGTGTGATGATCTCGTGACGTCAAAAGATTTCTCCCACAAATTTATCGACTCTCTGCGAAATCGACCCCGCGTAATATTTTTCTATGGTTCGAAGAAACAAATTTCCAGGAAAGGTGAGTGACTCTAAGTGGACCTTTCCTACGAGGAGAGTACGTGATATTTGGTCATCTTTGTCTCAGTTAGTGCAGAACTCTTGGAGAACAACTTTCTTGGATGCGATGTGATAACTGTTTCGTCCACACCGAGCGTAACGGGTACCTTACAACCCGAAGCGTGGAAGGTAGAGAGCGAAGGCCGCAAATCTGTGGCACTGTGCGCTTTACCAGTTTTCAGTTCCGCAACTGAAGTTTTGGTGATGACTCGATGTAAAAATGAGGCCGTGAGTAAACCGGAAACGATGGGAAAATGCATGTGCTTGATTATAAAACCACTTCTGCAGCTCAGTCGTTTTTCCGAGAGAGTGATATCCGAACTCCAGAATCAAGGGAAAGCTGTGAAAGGATTGCTGATGTACTGCTCGAGTCAGCGCATTCCTGGTCTTCTCAGAGCCTTGCAGAATCAGTTCGTGTTCATCCCTGCACTTCCGGTTTCCTCGACTTTATTTAGATTTACATATTCTTAGTTTCGATGATGCGGAGTATTTCCCGCCGTTCCACGGAGGATTCGCACCCAGCTTGCTTGTGAATGGTGCAGAAACTAAGGAATGCGCTGTTTTTTTCCGCGGAGAAGACATACGGATCCACTCGTTTGTTCTAGATGGCGAGACAATTGGTCATGATAGAATGACGGTCGCCCTGACTCAGGTAAATTCAGTTATGTGAGTCTAGTGTATCATCTGAAGCAAAACCTACGTCCTCCTCGATCTCTGTCGCTGGCGAACGGCCGATTAACTCATTCGAAACGCCGCCTCATGACGTTCATGCATTCATCGATATATCTGTTACTTTACTTCTTCAAGTATGTAGTCAGAATAGCAGTTCCGTTGAGTGCTTCATGAATTCTGTAGGATTTTGGGTTACAGAAAAAGGTGGCTGTGTTCTCTGATGAACGAAGACAGTAGATCGTCGAAGCCTACCTAACCTTCTTAAAAATTGTATTTAGACGATTAATCAAAAGTTTAGTGATTAACGAAGTAGTAATAAACATTTATTGCGGATCCGGTTATAAATATAAGAAAGATTTGCGTGAATGTAATTTAATTTTTATTTCTCCTGGCTACATTTACTACGAGCCTTGCAGTGGATGCCGCGCTAGACTCTCAATAAAGCGAATTACTCGAATCTGAGGTTGCGTTTCGCCTTCTTTTCTTCCCACAGAGATCTGAGGAGATTCGTAAATCTATGTCGGTTGGAGAAAAGTTCCTTTTCGGTCTAGTGTGCTGCTGTGTTAGTCGTGGACCTCCTTTCCATGGCGCTCACAATGTCGAATCCGATGCGTTTGAACGTGTTTTCCCTGGTGTTCCGCTGTTCGGATTCTGTGGCTTCGGAGAATTTGGAACAAACTCCTGTGCGGAGAAAACGGGTGCTCGTTTCGAAATTTTTCATTCGTTTTCTTCGTCGTTCATGCTATTCAGCTCTTCGAAAATGTAATTGAGAACAATTCGATCGTACTTGAAATATTTTGAAATTGCGGTAGTCTTGATGCTACTGTTATAACCCTGAAAATCATTTTGGAGAGTCATGTTTCTTATGTCGTTCGACTTCTCGGTGACCGTTTTATTCATGTTCTGCTCTGCCGGCTGTTGGTTTGCTTCGTACGTGATCTAAACTTTCGGCAAACTGGTTTAAAATTTTATTGAAGTGTAAATGTCGAAACAACGGCAAAGTCAACGATTATCTTTCCTACACCTCGGTGTGTTCGGCTTCGTTGACTGCTTTGAGTCGGAATGGGGAAGATGTTGGGGGCATTTGTTTAAGCGGTTGACACCGAAAGAATGTTGAAAATTTATTTGTATCGTCCTTGAACTTGCCGATTCTTGTGGACGGAGTTTTTCCTTTGAAGAGAAATTGAGGACTAATCGACCATTGACTTTCTTTTCACTAGGGCGATCAAAATTGAAAAAAAAGTCTGTGTAGAAGCATACGAATTGAACGCGTTTTGCGATGGCTGCATTTTCATCCGCAGTGAAAACCATCGGATGCAAGTATGTTCTAAGAATCAAATGTAGTGATGCACACATTCATAATATATGTCGCATATATAGGTTCTACAAGCTAGGTACTTGTCGCAAAGGAAATGCATGCTCGTATTCACATGATGAGACGAACTCAGTTTATCCCTGTAAGTACTACTTACAAGGAACGTGTGCCTTCGGAAGAAATTGCAGGTTTGCTATTTCAGATACTGACCTGTTCTCAATGACTAAATGGGTGATTACCATCTTTGTTTATGGTACTAATACATTTCAGATTTGACCATGTTCGTCCTGGCAATGCGAGAAATTCCCAGCAACATTCCGCGGGGGTTTCTGACCGCGTTCGTGCACCATCCTCTGCCAATGTGACGCCGACGTGAGTTTTAGACTTGAAAAAATCGGAAATATCCGTTGTCCTATCTTTTTGCATAAGAACAAAGTTGGTCTTTCTTGAGCCATTTTTTCCATTTGGCACTTACAATTAAACGACCTTTTTCTGGTCTTGGTAGGCCGAATATAAGTTTTAATAAGTTCTCAAGAAACACCCATTTCTTTCGTGATTTTTTTTTGTGTGGTAGGAATACGGTTCGTGTCGTTTGATTGGTGCTTGTTCTGGTTGTACAGGTTGCATTTTTCGGTGCTGGATCCTGGAGGAAGTACTATTCGAACTTCTTTGAGCTGGGCGGATGCTCCCGAATTCGTTCCCATGAGCGAAAGGCGTAAGTATTTCGAGGTTCCAATTATATTTTCCATGAAAGCCGTCTTATGCAGTGTGCCTTTTCTCTTCCATCTCAATTCTGTGGCGAAGCCATTGTGAAGTTTACCGCGGATTGTTAGACTCTTGGATGTTTGAAATCGTAAATGTCAGCATCTTGGATCGCTCTGGGATCACAATCGTGGTTTTACCCACAAAGAGCAATTAAAATAGAAGCGTCCTGTGCCAAATTTATTCTGGTCTTCGTCCGAATTGTAGAAGCAATGCGTTAAAAGCCTCCCTAACGTAAGGGCTTTTTATTTTGAGCCTCCTTAACTCGAATTTTTTGGAGGCCGTTCAGCTATTCTTTCATTGGCGGAGGTAAAAGAAATGCAACAAAATTTAAATGGATTTTTTCTAAGGGAATTAGAAGACTAATCGGGCAAACGAACCCTTGACTCCAAGATAAGCATTCTGTCCATTCATTTAATAAGCAATTCAAGTTCGAGAATATAACCAATTACATTCTTCTTCAGTTCATCTTTCTTTCCCTGAACGAAAATTCTTGTTTCCCTTACTCAAAACGTCCGTAACTTGAAATTTTCTGCTGGTCCGAGGAAATTCGTTGAGAGGTTCGACTGTGTTTATAACAAGAGTTTTTGAACTTGCCATTGTCGTGTTTTTCCTTCGGATAGACCAGTGGTTTATGAAAGAGTATTCCTCCATTCATTCGTTTCACTGTTCTTCAGCGAATGCCGTGACTGATGGGAGATCGTACGCACAAGCAGCTGGATCTACGAAAGTATCCGGTTATTCAGACGTTGGCCACATGGCCGGTGCCTGTGCGGAAGAAGAATTGTGTCCATTTGCGATTGCGGGCGAATGTCGGTACGGCGAAGCTTGTGTTTATGTGCACGGTTTGATTTGCGACTTGTGCGAAACCCCTTGCCTTCATCCAAATGACGAAGATCAGAGGAAACGTCATAGAACAGTATGTAGATGGATTTTTCTCGCCAGCATTTGTTTTTCTTCTGATGCTTTTCCGCTTTTGCGGAAACTGTGTTTGTGATGGTGCCCCAGTTGCTAAATGACGCGTGTTTGAATAGGGTTAGTGATATCTTTTTAAAGTGATGTGAATTTTGTCATTGTTTTCCACTTCATGCGATGGGGATTCTGGAGCAGCTTTTTGTTGAGTTTGATAATTTTCTAGTCATGATCAGTGCCGGTGAATTTGAATTTAATAACACTGGAACCTGTAGAAACATCTCGAGGTGAAGAATTAATTTAAATACCCTTATTTATTCGATGGAGTTGCGAAAGTCAAAGTGACGGTCTATCCCTTAAGGTGGAAACGATTTCTTCGTAAGCTATTTCGATTTTCGTGTAAACAGGTTAGTTATATTTTTCAATGTTTCTGTATAATAGAGGAACTTCGTCCCGAACGATTCTCTTCAAGAATAACGTCAAGTACGTGCGTAAAAACCGCGCTTTTCACAAATTGAAAAATATTTCCATTTCGAAATTTATATTATGGCTCGTTTAGAATGAATTTGTTGGAATTTACTTTGTTCGTCATCTTTTGCTGACGAAATAAATACGTTATCTAAGTTCAATTCGTTTTTCGTTCTTTAGGAATGTTTGAAACGTCACGAGGAAGATATGAAGCACTCGTTCGACATAGCGAAGTCAATCGACAAATCTTGCGGAATTTGTTACGACGTCATCCTGGAAAAGCCTGGGAAGAAAGCTGACCAGCGATTCGGAATTCTTTCTTCGTGCAATCACGTCTTCTGTATTAGCTGTATCCGAAAGTGGCGTCAGCAGACTGAGAACGTAGTCGTGCCGACCAAGGTGAAGAAAGAAATGGGTCCTAATTTCTCTGCAATGTTTGTTATCCAACTGGAAATCCTGCTCCATAGATTTTTTATTAAGAGAAGAATTGTCAATTGTATTTGTTATTTTCTAACGGAGAGTTCATGTTTTGAAGACTGCGAGAGCGTGTCCAGCGTGCCGTGTCATGTCAGACTTCGTGATCCCATCGAAAATTTGGGTGGAAGAGAAGGAGGATAAAGAAGCGCTTATTCGAACGTACAAAGAGGAGATGAGGTGAGTTCCATTTTTGAAATTGAAGTGTATAGAGTTCAGTACGATGATTTTTGCGGTGAGGAATGTCAAATCAGTAAGTGATATGTTTATGTTTGCGAGGAAGAATCCGCTGAGTTTTAGGCGGGAGCTACGCGACGTAAGTGGACAAATTTGGTTCTGCTTTTCGTACGAGATAATTCCTGACTTCTCAATTGTTTTTTAATCGTGTGGGTGTCTCCCGAAGTTTGTCAATTCTCGTTGGACTTCGGGTTGATTATGATAAGTTTTCTCTGGCTAATTTGTATTTTAGTTACTGTGTCAAGACTATTTATTTGAGTACCATGCGCACCTTTTCTCTCAAATGCAAGAGGAAAAAAAGGAATGCCTTTTTTTCAATTCATACCCGCATCACAGACGGGTATGATTAAAAAAAAAAATTTCAGAAATTTGTGTGTCTTATGTTGATTCTATTGGGAAATTTTGGACCAAGTTTGAAAGAAAAACCTATATTGTTGGGAGCAATAGAAATTTGTTGAAGTCGGCTTCAATTCATGTCTAAATTAAAATTTGGGTGTTCATCTTGGAAATATTCTTTTCTCACTAGAAATGGGCGCGTGTTTTACTTCAGAGTTGAGATACTCGAGGAAATATAGTTACTAGGTGTATTTTTTCATCGTTCGGGTGACATCAGATTAATACTTCGCTTTTGAGAGTTTTTTTCGATTTATTTATGCGTGGTCAACAATTTTATTTTTCAGAAAGAAGAATTGCAAGCATTTCAATTTTGGCGAAGGAGGTTGTCCTTTTGGCAACAAGTGCTTCTACCGTCATGAGACCCGTTCTGGAGCGAAGGTTGATGTTGGACCTCCTAGGAGACGCACCCGCGTTGGAGCCGATGATGAAGCCGAAGTTTCGGTGGGATATTTTTGGATTCGAATGAAACCTCAACTCAACTAACTTTTTTGTTACCTAAAGTTATACAGGATAATTTTTTGAAATTATAATTGTGATTATTCTTTCAGTTAGGGCTAGTTTCACTGAATTTCTAGTCTTCAGTTTGTGAGATTAAAATTTGGGTGTTCATCTTGGAAAAATTGTGTTCTCAGTAAAAATGGGCGCGTGTTTTACTTCAAGAGTTGAGATGCTGTCCGTAACGGTAGACGCCGAATGTAAATGAATGCATTCCATGATGCGATACAGTTTTTTAATGCACTTTTGACGCTTTTGATTGACAGGCTTGCTTTTGGCGAAGAAGTGACCAAAGAGTAAGGTTTTGCGTCCCTTTTTTATGACTTTTCCCGAAAAGTAATGGAGCACCCTGAAAAGCTTGCTAATTGTACAGTATGAAGGCAAATTGTTTTTCAACCGACACACTACACTGCACATGCAACCGCGTGCTAATGAAAACTGTTTCTTTTGCAAAAATGTAAAAATACTCCATTTCAATGCATAATTTTTCTCGTTTTTGCTGTCGTAGAATGTTCTGATGTGGGACTTCATTACCAACCATGAATTCGGATCATCGTTCGTCCTTGAAGCGGAAGTATTTGATACGACCGACTCCGATACCGATTCATTTTCGGAGCCGATCGACTCGTACGAGGATGTTTGGTCGGATGATGATTGGTTCGAGAATTGAACGCAAGGACCGTCGCATCTTTTAGAACGAACCGCGCGACCTGAGTGTGATTATTAAAAGATATCCAATTTTGTCCCTTCGTTTGTTTCATCAAACCGCTGAGCACTACTTGAATATGTTGTGATCTAGTGTTTTTTAATCCGCGTTTCCCAGTTATGGTGATAGTCACGGGGTCTCAAATGTCTCCGAGTTTGCCCCCGTTTGACGAGGGGATTCATTTGAGTAAATTTACGTTGTGTGATCGAGCTTGTAATCTGAAGTGACAGAAAATATTCGTTAGTTTCTTTGTTGTATGAGGAGGATCGTGTTTTTTGGAAGCTTTGTGAAGATCGTGGTTTATGGATGCTTTCGCCGCACGCTTTGAAATTTATGACCAGTGTTACGGTATTCGCTTAGTACGTGTAAACTCTTGATCGTATGAATTCAACTTCAACAACAGCTCACTACGAATTAAGAAATTGCGGGTGTGGATAATGTGCATTTTCAACATATTTACTAAATAACTTCATCGTTGGAAATTCTCATTTTTCTTCTCTTTTGACAACTGAGGTCGTTTTTCCGTGTTGAATCCTGCTTACAGCTAGCGGAATTTCCTCTTTTTGTTGTGATTGATTCGCCGAAGTGTGTCTTACAGTGGCGTGTAGGAGATGGGATGTGTTTGATGAAGGCTTGTGTGTAGATTTTGGCCTCTTGATACATGTACTCGAGAGACTCGTCTATATAGAGTACTTTTCAGTCTTGATCCTCCTTTTTATTGGGCTGTTGTAGTCCAAGAATCTGTGACGTATGGGATGCGTTTCCATTGCGGTAGAAACGATTTATGAGATCTATCTGCTTTTGTTTGTTTTTTATGATTGGTCTGAGTGTGTGGGCAGTATTTGGGTCATTCCAGAAGATATCTTGCGGAATCCGTGTGTAATTATATATGCCACCCCGGGGGCTTTCGTTGTGCAACTTCTCTTGTTGTTTTCGACTGAATTGATGGCCTTCTTCGAATTATGTTCTGTCTGGAATAGGTTTAAACTTTTTAACAAGAGAAAAACGGCGAATCACGAATGAATAGGGATCAATAGGGTGGTTTTTTAAATGTAAATTCTTGAAACTTTTTTCGATTGTTGACCATTCTCGCTTTTTGTTCCCGTCAATCATCGCTATTTTTGATCCTTGTCCACATTGAAACCTACTTTTTGATGTCCACCCTTTCCGATTACTTGGTTTGCGAAAAGTTTGTGCAGACATATTTTTACTAGAGCGTTTCTTGTGCTGTGTGTAGAAGAAAATTTTCTGTGAAGCTTGACGTCTTTAAGACACTAAAGAATTTGAAGGAGGCCTTTCTTTTCAAGTGGAGTGTGCATGGAGTTTCTATTGTATAATTCAATGGGTTAATTTCCGAAGGTTTGGGTTGTGTTCCTTAGTGGCTTGTCCGCGAACAATGAGCTTTTCGGCGGATGCTTGGGATGGTGATACTGACAGCGTTTGTGATGAAAACGAGCTTGATCATCCTCCGCGTGGCGGACCTTTTTCTGCCATCATTCCTTCAATGTGGCCGCCTAATTTGAAGTCCTATTTGATGCCGGTGGAATCAGAAAGCGGAGAAGTGCAGTAAGTGATTTTTTTATCCGAGTGACATCGAACTGACTACTGATGCATAATGCTCCTCTTGGCCTGAATATCAAGAAAAAATTTAAATGGAACAAAAGATTTTGGATTGTTCAATATTTCCTACGAATTTTTAATTTTAAAATGCGGTAGAATCTATTTATGACCTGTTCTTTTTCAGTCCTTTGCTCAATCGGCATTATGTTATTTTAATCGCTACACAACAGATTTAACTCTATACCGAAGCATTTTTCCAAGTCCCATTAGCTTCTTTGTAGCGAGATCTTACTGTATTAAGCGTTTTGTTGTTGTTTTGAGCTGTTCAGCTCCAATATAATTCTTGCTTTTCCTTTCTCGGAGCCTTCCCAGTCGCCGAAAGACCGATGACTAACCACTTATATGACGTGTTTACCCGAGTAAGTTCTCGATTTTTCCCGTTCAATGCGAGAAAACTGGGAGAAGAGGGGGGGGGGGTTAATTGAAGGAATTAAAAATTATGAACAAGCTGAAAAGTATGGCTGGGTTGTAGATATAAGTTTAATTCATGTTGCCTACCCATTCGCATACTTCCTCTTGCACTAATTTCTCATGTTCTTCAGAGGTGAAATCTTGGGTAGTATTGAGGTTTTAATTAGCGCGGCATTATTCTACTGTTGATGATGGTGGGGTTTTTTTTTTTTCTTTTCGCATCTCTTTAGTTACGATGAATTTGGATTCAAAATAGAGGAAGAAGATGGACCGGAGCAAAGTTCCAGCCCTTTATTGTCAACTCCGTTCATTGAAGATCCGCAGGAGAGGTTTGTATGAGTTTTTCAACGCTTCTGTTGTCATAGTAGGTTTTAAAATTACGTGCCGGAAAGGTTGCAGTGGCTGGCATATTTGGAGTTTGCCCATGGCAAAGAATGCCTGACGGGTGTTGGAGGACTGTCTTGGGATGGCGTCGATTCGAGACTGACTCAGACAGATCGTTTGAAATCCATGATCCAAGCTGGGATCCCGCATTCACTGAGAGCGCAGGTTTGGCTCCGGATCTCGGGGGCTCTGGTAAAGAAGCTGTCGTCGGATTCTTCCTACTCGGAAATTGTGAAGGCGAGCACGAGTGATCAGCTCACTGCTGCCAAGCAAATTGAAAAGGACCTGCTGCGAACCTTGCCAACGAACGTGTGCTTTGCCAGTTTGAACTCTCCTGGTATTCCGAAGTTGAGGCGGATTCTCCGGGCGATTGCTTGGCTTTATCCGCAGATCGGGTACGTTTTTTGTCGAAGTGCACTCATACCTCGATAAGCCGTCACCATTTGATTTTGTTAGTTCAAAAGAGGTTGTTGGTTCATCAAAAAAGCTAAATAATGTCAAGTGCTGTAAAAAATAAGAAAAATTCTTATTCTATGAGTATACCATCAAAATAACCCAGGGATGCTTAAAATACATCTTTCCTATGTTCCCAAGAAGTAATTCATGTTTTTTTTAAGTTTTTAAGTTTATTTGATGAGCGATCTCACAGAAACTTGAAACTTGTTGGCGAGCTATCTAAGACATATGAATGAATGAACAGAAAGCTTTATTTTCCACTTTACAGCGTTCACAAAGTTCAATCAACATTCCCACATCCAAACCCCCTCCCCACCCAACCCAAATCTATTCAAACGTATTCAATCACTTCAAAATGGGAAACACAGAGAAAAGCTGCATATAGATACTGTACCAAAATAAAATAAAATCCGTTCTACACTGTACAACTGCTCAACTGATGTGTATGCATGCACCCCATTCTTTAGGACGTTGAAGACATAATAGGCAGGAGCATATCTAAGAAATGAATATTTTTACTGGATGACGCTTTAATGGGGTTACCAATACTATGACTGGGGAAGTTATTTTCCGAAATAAATCGACGTTTGACGAGGGTGGCGTCTTAAAGGGGGTTTGACTGTATTCAGTTGAACAAATCTGAGGTAGACGTGAAATGAGAGTGATTTTCATTTTTTTAGTCCAAGATTATTCTTCAGAGACAACATCACAATTTTGTGATGAGGAGATGAACTTTGACAGCTGATTTCTTTGAAAAATATCCGACAAATTTTTCAGATTTTTATTCTTCAACAAAAAGAAATGAAATTAGAATCATTTAAACCTTTTGGCATCGATATTGAATGTCTTTTTTGAAAGAATCCGACGCAAAAGGAGAGGGTTTCGATAAGGATAAGAATATATTTTGGAAGAGTTGAAATTGAGTATCCATGACTCATGAACTCTTTTAATTCACATCATTGCATAATTTTAGCATCTTATCATGGCTTGGAGAAATGGGCTTTAAATGTAAGCATGAACGCAACTGTGCTATTTTGAAAAAAAAGAAGAGATTTTGCAGAACGAATCGCGTGCCATATGTATTTTTACGAGGCATTCGCTACAATTTTGGCTCGCATAATTGAAAACCTTTTTTTTCGCAAATTCACATAATTTTTTATTTTATTTTTCTGCCTTTTATTTCCACGTCAAGATATTGTCAAGGGATGGGTGTGATCGTTGGGTCCATCCTGCTTTTCATGGAGGAAGAAGACGCGTTTTGGATGATCAGTGCCATCATAGAAGACCTGCTACCTGCTTCCTATTATTCTCAAACTTTGCTCGGAGTTCAGGCTGACCAACGAGTGCTGCGGGAAATGGTTCAGGGGATGCTACCAGAGTTGGACAAGGTGTTGACGGACCATGATATTGAACTCAGTCTGATCACTCTCCATTGGTTTCTCACTTTGTTTGCGTCTGTCGTGCATATGCGCGTGTTACTGAGAATCTGGGACGTTTTATTCTACGACGGATCCATTGTTATGTTTCAAGCTGCCCTTGCGATGCTTAAACTGGAAGGTGAGTTCAGTTGCAGACGAAATTTCGTTGCTTAAAAAATATTTAATGCAGTTTATCTTCATTGGCATTGAACGCATTTTAGGTCTATGATTGAGCACTCTCTGGGTTTCTGTGCGGTGACCGAAAAGTTGATGCGTAAAAAGTATACTGTACACGATTCGTTCTGCAAAGCCCCTATTTTTCCAAAAATAGCGGAGTTGTTCGCGTTCAAAATCTATTTCTATGCTGACGTCCAAAATATACGATGATCTGAACTCGAACAGTGAATATCTGTCATGAGTCATCTCACCCAATTTTTCCTCGTAGAAAATATATTTTTATCTTCGTCGAAACCCGCATCTTTTGTCTTAGGATTCTTTCAAATATTGCATTCAATATTAACGCTTGAAGGTTTAAATAATTGAAGTATCATTTCTATTCTTGCCGGAATAATAATGAGAACGCATTTGTTCGACATTTTTTCAACGAAATTTGCTGTCAACGTTTATTTCCTCAATATCAAAATTGAATACTGCCTCTGAATAAAAACCTTTTACCAAAAAAGTAAAAATCGCTCTCCTTTCACGTCTGCGTCGAATTAGTCCAACTGAATACAGTCAAACGCCGTTAAGCCGCCACCCTTGACAACCACCAATTTATTTCAAAAAAACCAAATTTAATCGAGACTTGAGTTCCGATTTCAAGGATTTCTGCTTTTTTGAAGGTTAAATGCGTTCCAGATTGACTTTTTGCACTATTCAGGCTATTTTTTGGAGTAACCTCCATGAAACGTTTGTTAGGCATGTGGTCATTTTTCTCTGTTTTTGTTTTGTTTTCAAGCTCACAAAATGTCGGAAACGGATAATGCGGCAGATATTTTCAACTTGTTATCCGACATTCCCGGAAATATGAAAGAAGTTCCCTTGTTGATGACGGTAAGTTAGTCAAATTTGTTCTTCTTACAGAGTGTTGCAATTTCCATTTTCCTTTGATTCAGGCATTTTACGAGATGGGTTCGCAATTGAGTGAAGTTGTGATTTCAACTCAACGGCGACTACAACTTGCCTACCTTTTGGCATCTGAAGGTTCTTTGGAGGCGATAACCCCAAGAAGTTATTTGTTCGGGAAAGAGGAATGTGAGGAAGGAATTGATGCGAAAAAGCTATCTGCATTGAGCTCGCATGAACAAGTCTACCGGTATGCACTGTTTCTGTTGGCGAAATACGGTTAATTTGACGTTTGCGATTTTTTTCATTCACTCATACGAGATGGATCTTTTTAGTTGTGTCGTTTTCGTTTTTCAGTCGCCAGATAAAACGATCCAAGTCCTTGCTTGAGTCCGTAGGGTTCGGGATTCCTGATGAGAGTGATGCTTTGAAGATGAAAAACGTTCATCAGACGGGTATTGCCATCTTCTATTCTTCGCCGAGTATCATATCATTCTTGCGATTCAATTTACTTTTTTCAGAGGTGCTGGTTGATTTGAGGGAAGCCATTTTGTCAGTGGGTCGACATTTCCAAGAGCGTGATCCGAGATACGAAGAAATATCGATGTCTGCTGATTATGCCATGAGCTCGCATGCTCTGGATCATGAAGTTTTTGCCCGCGTTTCGACGAATAAGAATCGCCGAGCAAAAGCTTTGCTTGGTTAGTTGATCACCGTATTTCTTCTGACATTTATTCAGCAGCCTTATTTCTGCCATTCGGAAATCTGCTGTAGCTCCATTGAGAGAAACTATCTTTGGAAAATTTGATTTTTAAGCCCTCATAGTGCAGTATTTTTGTTGTTGTTGAGAAAGTTCATTGCGAAAATGATCGTAATGAACCAGAAACGACAGCTGGATGGATTTTTCGGGTGTACAGTATCTGGAAAAAAGTTTTTTTTACCTCGGAATTACTCGATTTACTCGAATATTATGCACCTGGTTTTTAAAAATTGATTGGGGAAGGTGCGCGGCATAAGCGGGTGTAAAATCTTACATTATTTCAAAAGTTCGGTTTCGCGTCAAACGCGAATATTTTATGACATTTCTAACAGATTTAAGCGAACGGGTTATTTTTTAATTGGAGCAATCAAAAACTAATTCCAAATGGGTTCAATTTAAGTCACAATTTGGAATCTTATGAGTTTCATTTTCAAAGCTTGGCCATTTTCAGTCACTAAACATGTGGTGTCATATTCGGGGATGCGTTTTTATTCCAATTTTAGGACCAGAAAACTGGGTGCGCGTCTGACTTGAGTGAATATGGGCATGAAAAGCGAAAATGTGAAAATGCGTGCACAGCAAGCCATTCATACCTTTATTTGGCTGTTCGGAAAAATTCAAAATGTATTCATGCACTGAACATTGTGCTAAGTTTGATTGTACTGTATAATCGAAAAAGAATCTTTTGAAGTACAAAATGGGTCGACTCGACGCACGCAGAAATATCTGAACTTTACGCCCAGTTGTTGGCTTACTGCCATGAATTTTAATTACGTTATTCCTTTCTGTGCATCCGCTTGCGTTGGTTGTTTACGTTGCGCAACGCGTTTCGAATGAGAGCCTCTCATCAAAAGATTTCGGCGTCAGTTCGCTGAATTGATGCTGTTTAAGTGGAAGATGCTCATTCTCGAATGAACTAGAAACCTTTTTTTATATATGTTCGTAAGAAATAGTTTCTGATGCAACGTTCTCCATTTCAGATTTTGAGCGCCATGATGACGATGAGCTTGGCTTTCGTCGCAACGACATCATCACAGTGATCTCTATGAAAGACGAGCATTGTTGGATCGGGGAACTGAACGGTCTGCGAGGTAAAGTCAAGCATGCCATACCCTCTTTCAACCCAGCAACAATTATACTGTATATTTTCCCATGTTTAGGTTGGTTTCCTGCCAAGTTTGTGGAGGTTCTGGACGAAAGAAGCAAACAGTATTCGAGCGCTGGAGATGACACAGTTACCCCGTTAATAGCGGATGTTGTTCGTGGTAATCTGTGTCCGGCAATTAAAGCCATTTTGGAACACGGACTCAAGCGCCCCGTTTTATTAGGTGAATTGATCGTGCAAATGTATTGATAGTGAAGAGGAATTATTGAGCCTGAATGTCATAGTAACCGGACCTGGTGCTACTTGTGTCAAAATTTATCACAGGAGAGTCTCTCAGGCGAACTTCGAGGGACCAGCGAACAAATTCGAGTTAGGGAAACGAGCATTTTCGTCGGGGAAAGCAAGAAGAAATGAAGGAATTTTTAATATGGGATATCTTGGGCATTAAATTGCTTCTTAAAAAAAAGTGGACAGGATGCTGAAATTGGAGGCAAGGGTTCATTTGCCCGATGAGTCTTTCACTTCCCTTCGAAACATATCGTTAAAATTGTTATTGAATTTCTCTTTCCTGTGTCAACAAAATAATAGTCGAAAGGCTTAAGAGACAATTCGTGTTAATGAGGTTCGAGGAAGAAAAACTTTGAGCCTGGGAGGTTTTTAATGGATTTCAAAGGGATTCCAGAGAGAGACTTAAAAAAAAATCGACTTTTATGGAGGTTTGAGTTATTGAGGTCTACCTTTTGGTTCATTGTACAGTATTCGAAGTAACATCCTTTTTGAAACTGCATTCTTGTAAGTACAGAGCTGAATTCTATTCAGGCCAGGCATTTTCACTAAGATGTGGATTCATATTAATTCTGTTTCGTAACTTTTGTCGCGATTTGTAAGCATGTGTAAAAATTGGAAATGTATTTAAGCTGCAGAAGCCTCATAAAGTACTGTACTGTACATCATTAAATATTATTTTAATCACAATGATTCACTGAGACTCAGTAATTGCGGGATGGAAAAGTCATTGCTTGCTTTTAAAAATTCACTTCGTTAGCAAAAAGAATAGGGGTTGTCAGGTTGTGATTTCATGAGCGATTGACTTGAGTATAACTTACTTGCCAATTTTTCTGAATATGTGCTGTTTGCGATCGCATATCTGTTATTTTCCAGGCACTGTTTGTCATCCCTGGCAATTCATAGAAGAAGTTGCAAATGCAGAGGTCGAGAAAGACTTCGGATCAGTGTATTCCCGGCTCGTACTTTGTCGAACTTTCCGGTTGGATGAAGATGGCAAAGTTTTGACTCCTGAGGAGGTACGTCTGAAATCTTTCGACATGAAGTTTGGTACGATACGTTCTAATTTTTTATTTATTTTACTGCTCAGTTATTGTATCGATGCGTAGCAGCTGCGAACCGATCTCATGATGAGTACCACGCACAAATGGATGTCAAACTACGTTCCTTAGTTTGTATGGGACTGAATGAGCAAGTGCTACACTTGTGGCTCGAGGTACTCGCGTCTTGCAGTGCTGTTGTCAAAAAATGGTGAGGCTAGTGCTGAAAATCTTGTACCTGTTTAACCTATTGGTGAATTCAATAAAAACACGCGCTCATGCTTCGATGAAAACCATTGTAGGCCCCGTTTTGATATTTGTGAAAATAAGTGTTGAGGAGGGTTGACGCGCCGAGTGCCGTATTACGTGTATCGTTTGCATTATTGCTTTCGTGTGCACCTAAAAGAGAAAGTGCACGAAGAAGTAATTCGAAAGCGAACAAGTTTAAAATTATCTAGTGCAAAAATATCAGATTTCGACATGTACGGTAATTTGTAACACGTGTTAGTTTTTGGATTTCATTCTTCGCGTTGATTGACTTTTTCGCCGAGTGTTTTAATGCGTTGTTGGGTGTGTTCGCCAGGTACAATCCGTGGAGTTTTATGGCTTCACCGGGATGGGTGCAAATCAAGTGTGAGCTTCGAATTTTGTCACAATTCCCGTTCAATTTGAATCCCGATTTTGAGCTTCCCGTGGATACTCAACCGGGACAGCCAATGAAGGACGGTCTCAAAGATATGCTTGTTAAACATCACCTGTTCTCCTGGGACCTATGAATTCCACATGAGCGCCCAGCAAACTGGTATTTTTTATTTGAAGCTGAATCGTGTGAAAAAAAAAGCTGAGCATGTGTTCTTTAGCTTCAAACAAATGCGATCTTCTCTGATGAAACCCATCTAGTCCCGACGGAATATTCGTGCTAGTCAAGATTGTTGTACCATCGGAGGTTTGAGGATTATTTTCGCTTATGGGACTCGGAAGTCCTATGTTATCTGTGTTTGATGCTGTGGTGGAAATGCTGGTACAGTGGTGCCTTGAAATCATCCGTTTTTATAACGAATGCTTCGTCGTTTGAGACACGATTACCTTTTCTAACGCATTGGACAAGAAGAAAATTATTCCTTCCTATCAAATTCTACGCGTATTGCGCTAAAACGACGCAATGTCAAATGAGAAAGATGATGATTTTCATAAGGGTTACGGATCATTCTGTCCCTCGTATCAGAAATTGAGTCAATGAAGGAACCAAATCTTAGAATGCCCCATTCTTTTTGAGTTGGTTTTCTTTCTCAGTTGCGTTCGTTGTGTGAGGCACCACTGTATCCGTGTGGACTTGCACTTGCTTTCTTGAAAATGTATACGGAGGCTCGTTGTATCCTTTCACATCTACTATCAGACGATCACGAGGCATTCCGTTGCTGATACATTCCTCTCAGGAAAAACCTTTTTTCCGTGTGTATCATTGCCAAAAGAAATGCGTGGATGGAAAAATACCAGATTTTTCTCAAAAGAAGTGCTTCTTAAAGAAATGAGTGAGCTAGGGATTATTCAAGTACATCATCATGTTTTTTTTCAGTTTCATAAGTTTCTTGGTTGGTGATCGTATTACTTGTGAAACCTGGTGTGTGTAATTGAATCTACTTCGGAAATTCGTCGTGATGGATAGCAAGGATGCTAATCATGAGAATGTGAGTATTTTTATTTTATTTTTGTGTACATTCGAACCTCTTGGAATCGAACTTCAAAAAAATTCGAGTTAGGGAAGCAAGCATGTTTGTTGAGGGAAAGAAACACGGATTACAGGACATTTTAATTTGTGATATTCTGCACCTGCAATTGCTTCTCAAATGATTTGACAGGATGTTTAACTTGGAGGCAAAGGTTCTTTTACCAATTAGTCTTTCCCTTCCTTTGAAAACGCATCAAGTTACCGTATATTTTTATTGCCTTTCTCTTTCCTGTATCAATAAAATAATATCCATAAAGCCTCAAGGAAATTTGAGCTATGAAGGTTTGAATTATGAAACCTTTCAGTCCGGGAGGTGTTTAATGCATTATTTCTGAGGAATTTAAGACAGGGATTTGAAAATATTTCGATATAGGGAGGTATTCGACGTCGGCAGGTTCGACTCATCGAGATTCAACTGTATTTTTTTTTTATCATGAATACCGATTTCAAGAATCAAAATTACTGTATTTCGCAGACTACGGAGGAGTCGAAGACAGAAACTCCTTCATGTGCTGAACCGGTTCCAGAAATCGAAGCCCCTGCCGATAACACTTCAGTAGCTTCCCCAGAAGCACTAGTGGAAATACCATCATTAGAAGTGAGCAAGTCCTCCTTGGATGCCGAACCAATTGCAGAATCAATCCCCTCGGAAGTTGCCGAAGAAACCTCAGTAAATCCGTCGAAATCCAGCGAAAACGTCTTGCACGTCACCGAAGAAACAAATGGCAACGGCCTTCACCCTGAAGGCGGTATCGACGAAGACGAAGAAACGGATTTGTCCATCGGGAATTCCGAGTCTGACGAAGATCCGTCGGACGCCGAAAATGTTCCTCGAACGCGGAAAATAAAGCGCGGTCGGGGCTCGTCGCGTTACTACACGGGGAAAAGTAACATGGATGACGACGCCGACGATGGTGGCGATGAGGAGGAGGAGGGTGATTTAGAAACAGTTCCTTGCAATGAAGGTTCGGAAGGTGAGGACGACCGACGTAACGAAGAAGATAATGAGGAAGATGATGACGCTGAGGAAGACGGTGGCAAGCCTTCGAAGACAGTCGACGACGACCAGGACAAGCGCAAACCCCAGTATATCCCCAAAAGTGGGCCTTTCTACCAGCACGACACTCGCGAAGATGACGAGAATGCCGTCAGCGCCGAAGCCAATATCAAGGATATTCGAAATAGACGCGTCATCCCTGAAAGGTTTGTGAAGTGATGCAAATTTTTTGTTGGAATTCCATCATTCGTTTTCAAAACCTTGTGCAGTACAACGAGTATGTTTGTAGATTTTGTGCAGGTGAACTCTCGATCCAACGAAATGCAACGTACCTGAGAGCATTTAGTTGGAGATAACTGAATGGGAGCACAAAACAAATTCGTAATACAGTACCGTGAAAAATCGTTGTAGACAAGATCGTTGTTGAGGGAGTTCACCTGTACTGCACCTCTTCGGCATTTTTTTTCGCTCCTGTAATTCTGAATTCAGTCGCAGTTGAATTTGTGCGGCCGTTTCTTTCAATATTTTTGACTCACGACTGTGAATGTAAGAAACCGTTTTGTGCCCAACTAACGGGTTCAGAAATGTGCGACAACTGATTCGAACGGAAGATCGTTGAAGTGAAAATAATTCGGAATCCCTGTGTGTCTTTCCGCGCACTCGGCTGGGGTAAACAGCTGCTAACGTACACATATTTACTTTCAGAAAGAAACACTCTTTTTCGGTGTGTTTCATATCGTTCACCGTATTGTTCGTTGTTTTTTCGCTTTTTAGCGAAAGAAAATCAATTTCATGCAATTTTCCTTTTGATATTGCCGTGAATTTTCATTCTTGAATGATTGGGTCACTCCGGTGTTTTCCAACAGGTGGTCGCATGACAAATACGAAGAAACGAACCAAGCTCCGAAAACGACAGAAGATCTTATTGCGCAATACGGTTACGATATCCGACGAGACGAGGGCCCACCAAAGGGCCATCGTCAGCGGAAGTACGGGCGTGGGCCGGCGAAATACGAGCGGAAATGGGAAGACCCGGATGCGTACCGGAAATCTCGCGGTGGCGGTGGCCCTGGTGGACCTCCACGCAGTTCTGGGGGTTTATGGCAAGACCGCGACCGGAAATCCGAACCCAATCGTAGGCCAGCGTTTAGGAACCATCACGACGACCGGGAAGTGCAAAAGTCGAGTGGTGATGACAATAAGCAGAGTTGGCCGACACCGGAAGAAGCTTCTGTTGGCAAGGCGAAATTACCTGTTAAGCAGAGGCTTGGTCGGATAGACAATAGCAGGAGTTCACCGCCAAAGACCGACCGCAGGTGAGGGAATGGACAAATCAATATTTTGATTTTTACAATATTTTATTAATAACGTTGAATTGGCTGCGAGGGGTGTTAGTGAAAAACCTCGCTAAACAAAGAACCTCTTCAAGTCGAATTTCAAGGACCTTTAAAAAAAATCGTGTTCTGAAGCTTTCGATTGAAGGAAAAGACAACTTTTTTTGGGAAAGGAAGAATTACAGGAAATTGCAATTGGTGATATCCTGGGCCTTAAATTGCTCAAATGAGTTAACAAGGTTCTAAACTTGGAGGCAAGGGTTAATTTGCCCAATTAGTCATTCACTTTCTTTCTAAGCGCATGAACTTAAATTGTCATTGCTTTCCTCTTTCGTTTGTAAGTAAAATAATCGTCAAAAAACCTCTAGAAAATTCGAGTTATGGCGGTTTGAGGAGGAAAGCCTTTGAGTTATAAAGGATTTTAAATTTGTAATGCATTGTTTCTAATTTACTTCGCACGGGGGCTTGAAAACAATTCGCCTCGGGAAGATACGAGGGTTCTAACAAAAGTTCTCGGAATGAAAATGAAGATGGCGTCTAATCAAGCTGGAAAAAAATTATTCTTTAGGGCAACCATATTCTTTGGCACAAAAAAAAAAATCAGCCCAGTTTGAAGCTTGATTAGACGCCATCTTCATTTTCATTCCGAGAACTTTTGTTAGAACCCTCGTATGACTTGTTGAGGTTCAACTCTAACTTGGAAAGCGGGTTATTATCGCATTGCGAAAGGCATAAAGTTTTTATTTCGAGACTATTGAATCCCATGTGACTTAGCTGACGTTTTTGACCGTGTACGCACTTTTCGGAGATGAACTCCTTCAGGGTGCTTGATGGATGCTAGAATTATCTATTCACACCAATATAAGTTTGCATGAATCTGGCTCAGTGTCTCTTAACGTCGTGCCTCGAGAAATATCTAAACCTTGAGATGAATTTGCCGACCTATTCGTTAATTTAGTGAATTCTTACAAGTGTGAAAAGATTGTCTGATGAATTTTGCATCGAGTCGTCCCTGGTTTCATCTGCTTCTGTGGGTTTTTGTTAGTGCGTGTATTCAAAGTCGCATTGGCCTTGTACGTGTAATTGGGTTCTGAGCAGGTTTTTTTATTTAATAAAATTGTATATCTCTTCGCGCGAATTATTCAGCTCTTGTTAACTTTGATGATTCTGTTCGTGATGTACCCAAGTTTTGAAGTATTTCGACGGTGTGAGGAACTGTTTTCAAGCATCGTTGATTTCACCAAATTTGTGTTATAGGTCTCCTCAGCGAAGTAATGAAAAGCGAGATCGCGATGAGAGACCGACGAGACCGTTCAAGGACAGTCGTGATCAAGACAGTCGCCCGCCGCGTCGGACCATCCGCCGGGACGACGAGGAATTCAACAATCATCCCCGCGTGTTCACTCGTGGTGGTCCTCGGGGACGGTCTGATTTCCGAGACAGCAATCGCGATTCCGGTCGGGACTTGAACAAGGACCGGAGGGACCAAGATCGGGACCGATTCCGTAGGGACGATCGTGGCGGCGGTGGTGGTGGACGTGGCGGCAGGAGCTCTGCTGGACGCGGCAGAGGCGGTTCCAGAAATGTAGGCGATAAATCCGAGTCACTGGCGGGCGAACCCCAAGTCAAGGAGAAGGTGCAATCAGAAACTTCGCCCAAGACGAAACAACAGGACGCCAATAGACCCCCGAGGTAGGGCTTCTGCACGAAAATCCAGCGTGCATAGGAACTAGGCAAAAGAATATCCAATCGATGTCATTACCTTTATTGGAGTCATGCATCGTTTTGTTTATGAGCAGAAATATGGGTTCAGACTGGATTGATACTACCTTACGACAGGTGTACTCTTCACAACAATCTTGTTCATAACGAATTTCTCTACATAACTAATTTGTGTTTGGTCTCATTGGGTTTTCTGCCCAGATTGTAGGGTTGTCCTACTACGAAATTTTCTGTACACCAATTTCCTTCCGATCCTTGAATTTCGTTGAAAAGAGTCCACCCGCAGTAGGATCAATTTTACACTCGGATTGCCTTGTCTATCAACTTCGCGTCAGCAACATTCAATGCTCAGATTTGGCAGCACTAATCTACCAATTTTACTCGAATGCCACTTGCGCTCAAGTAAGACATGCACCTGAATTTGTTTGGCAAAGAATTTGCCCAAAAACCTATCTCGTGTGATGCGCACCCAAGTTGTTTTTGGTTTAAAATAATTATTCTTCAAATAGTGGTATTCAACGTGATAATCATGTGAATAATCGCAATAAATTGAAGCATTGGAACAGGATATGTAACAGTTATACAATAATTTCCTTTTCGTAGTTTTTTCCTAAGAAGACTTCCTTGTGCCTGCAGCACTGATTTCCTAATTTTCGTTTTTATTATTATAACCGCGTGCCAGGTGCACCCCGCTTTTCTGCCTTAGTTTTGCAAAAAAAAAAAAAGAAAAAAAGTCCGCGTGGTACTCTGATAAATATGACGCGTAAAATGTTCACCAAGTAAATGCAATTGTGGAAGCCCTTTTTGAAAATCGAGTGCTGGGTTGGAAGTTCTTGGTGTGCTTGAGCTGCTGCATCTGATGAAATCAACACAAAGAGTTCAAGCGACGAATTCATTTGTTATTTGCCCATGGTTGCAGTCCTTCAGTTGCAGTTTTGTCTTGAGCAACTTCTAGCCGTCAATTTCATATTTCATACCAACTTACACATCTTTCGTTACCAAGACAGAAATTGCCGAGATCGCCTTGCTTTTTCATTGGGGCCTGATAATCGAGTTGCGACGAAATGCGTAAAGCAATTTTTTGAATTTGCTTGAAACATTGAGTTTCCTCAGAAAATTTTCAAATCCATTAAGCTTGCGAGTGACGGGTAAATTCCAATTTATCCTTAAGGTTTCACTTCCAAATCCTTGGGTTTTCTTCCTATTTGAACATCGATGAATAAGAATCTGAACGAATTTGCTGGATTTACTGTATTTCAATTGACGTTATAAATGAATTTCAAATTGTCAGTGTTCTGCTTAAAGGATTGCAAACTGGCAGAAAGTTTAAACGAACCTTCTTCATTTCTTGACGATTTCCGCTAAACGAATTGGCTAATTCTTGAAACGCTGACAAAGTATCGCTGAGAAAAGGGTCGTTCCACTTCTTTTTTATTTTCAATTGCATGCGTCGAGTGATGTTACCTTGTGATTTGTTGAAAGCGGACACGTGTAAGGTGAAATTATCTCGATCTTGCGTGATTTCGTGAAGGTATTCGTCTCAGCGAACGGCCAGAGAAGCGCAGAATCGCAGTCCGGACCCGGAGCGGTCGTCATCATCCTTGCCGACAGCAGCGACGACAAACAACGCCGCCGTAAAGGATACCGCCCCTGCGGCGCCTTCCATGCCGTTGAAGCCAGCAGCTGTCCACGATAGCACGGACTATTATTCTAGCCAACCGGCGCCTCTCAGCCGAGACTCCCCATACGAGTCCCCATTGTCGCCGCAAAATAGTTTGTCATATTCGTCGCCAACGCCGCCGATTGTGACGCCGCCGGCAGCGGCGTTGCTGCCGACCCCGGGGGCGGCTTATGTGACTGCCACTGGAGCCCCGTACATGCCGACGCCGCCGGTGCCGGTGCCTATGGTTTATCCTACGGCTGCCGGCGCGCCGCCTGCCCCTTTTCCGTGTCCTCCGCCGGCGTCCATGTATCCTAGGTATGGACCCGGTGGGGCGGCGGCAGTGCCTGTCGCTGTTCCAGTCCCCGTAGCCGTCGGTGGCGACGGACCCGAGATTTACTCCAATGGAATGACCTATTACGACACCCATGTACGTTTTTATTTCTACAGTAGTATAGTCGAAGCTCTCTGGTCCTTCGAATTTCAAAGGACCAGCAAAGAAATTCGAGTTGGGGAAACGAGCTTCTTTTGTTGTGGAAAAAATAAAAGAAATGCTGGAAATTTTAAATGGTGATATTCTGGGCTTCAAGTTGTTTCTTAAATAAGTCGACAGGATGCTGAACTTGAAGGCAAGGGTACATTTGCATAATTAGTCTTTCATTTCATTTTAGAACACGTCGTTGTATTAATTTTTTGCTTTCTTCTTCCAAAAAAAGATTAGCCGAAAAGCCCCCAGAAAATTAAATTATAGAGGTTTGAAGATGAAAGCCGCCAAACCGAAGAGGTTTTTAATGCATTGTTCTTATGGAATTCAGTCAGGGGCTTGTAAAAAAATGTTCGACTTTTGAAGGTTTGTTTTATTGAGGTGCAACATGTACATGATTGGAGAAATCTTCGCATGATTCCATTTTCATCTGCTTTTTTTTCTGGAGTTGTTTTTCAGAACGGAGAATTTCCTGTTCAATAACATGACTGCATTAATTTCACTAGACATGGAGGATAAGTTCAAAACTTGCTGATGATTGTTTTGCATCGTTTTTGCAGGCCCAGTTTCATCCACGACCGATTCAGAAGCGGCCTAAAGCAGCGATACCCATCGTCGCACCTCCAGAAAGGGATGGTAACTTCGTTGATGGCGACGATGGCTCCCAATGAAGTGATAAGGAGCTACGCGTGTGTAACGGAATCATTACACATTTACATTACAGTACATCCATACGTTCTTCTGTAGAAAAGTGACGAAATGCCACCTTCTTGACATTGTTCTCTTCTCCGTTGCAAATCGACGCGAAAGTAAACGCGTGTGAGCAGTTTTTCTGATGGTTTCTTCGCAAAAACTTGACGGAAAGGGGCTCTGTGAGAAGCTTGAAGATGAAGAATATTGAGGGAGATTCAAGCTTCGCAGATCTAACCGGTCCGGCTTTCGTCTCCGTGTCCTTTTTTTATTTTCCCCCTCTTTAAATTTATGTTTAAGATTTTGAGGGAAGATAGATTGTATGTAGAAGCTGTGCTAACGCGAATAACTCATCTTAGTGACGGAATATTGTCAGTATGTCATTCTGCTGCTCCGAAATTTGATCGTTCGGGACTTTCCAGGACGATCACAAATTTCTGTGAGCTTCAATCCCGTTGCTCAATCGAGCTGTTGGGGGGTTAAATCGTGTGGTTTTTTTTATTGTGAAGTCCGTTGGAAGATGTGCAAGAGTGAATGCTTTAGGTCAAATCAGTTGGTCCGAAACTTACAAGATGCCGGGCGAACGACTGGGGCGAGGGAGGTAATGCTTTTCTCAAAGAGCCCCTCGGGTTATCTCCCTTTACTCGTTGAGGAATGTTTCGGAAATTTTCCGAGGTTTCGCTGTAATTTTTTACGTTGATTTCAAGTGAACCTTGATGTTGACTCGTAGACACAATTCTCCGGTTTCGTTTTCGATTCCAGATGGAATACACGCGATGTTTGTTGAGATTCCTCGCGTTTTTCTTTTTTGTGTTCAGCGGATCCTCATAAAACTTTCGTTTTTTTCTCGTGATCTGAAAATGTGTGACGATTGTTTTCTTCGACAGATGATATAAAGCAGCGGTCTTTTAGTTTGCTATGATACCTTGTCCAGTGAACCATGGCTGTGGCTCTATTTCATTTCATATCGTGTTTGGTTCTACCGGTCTTCGTCGAGTCCATGATGTTCCACTTGGCGGCAGGTCCCGGGAACAGCAAGTGCCTCAGTGATCAGGTTGGTGAAATGTATTAATACTGTAAAATCAAATTATGGTTCGATGGCACGTACTTTGTGCAGCATCTACGAGGGGCTATATAATCCCGCGCGAACCTCATATCTCGAGCTTCGAGTCAGGTTGGACCTTTTCCTCCTCCTTCCTCACTTTGAGAAAGTTTCACAGTGTCCTTTGCTACTCTTTTTGTCATTTGCTGAAACTTCTCTCGTCGTCAATAGTCATTTGCTAAAACTTCGTCTTTGAAAAATTGTAGCAAATGACAAGTTCGAAACTCTCCCCCAGTCAAGGCCGTGGGAAAAAGGTATAACATCACTTGTACGGCTCCTGCGCCCTTCCGTTTTGCGCGAAAATTACGATAAGAAAAGACGAGAAGCCTCCTGTAGGAAGGAGGCGGCAAAGGTCCAAATTGACTGGGAGTTCGAGCTATATTGAGGTTCGCGTGTGAGCGTGTAACCTCTCGTATTTGCCGGAAGTTTGTAATGTATTCCAGACCTTGTCGTCCACTTTAAAATATTTACTATTTTTCTTAATTTGGTATCCTTTAGGGCTGTTGGGGAATAGTTGTGTAAAATTTCATGTATGTGATGTAGTCTTTCTTCGGACTGTTGTACCGGTGTGTTGGAATAATCTTGCGAAGAGTGAAAATTGTTTGAGGCTTTCAAGCTTTATTAATACAGTACGAGTAATTTTGCCTGCGGGTCTTCTTGAAGGAATTAATTTTGCTCAAGTCTCGAATAGCTGGAAAGGTTGAGAAACATTGGTTTACGTGATGACAAAACTTGAATTTATAGAATCCTCGGGGAAACCGAAGGAATTTCTTTGACTAGATTGGTATTCATGTAATACTCCAAATTGAAAGCCCATCCATACGACTCCGCAGTTCTTCCGAAAAGTTGGGCTTTGACTGATCTATTGAAGGTTTATGTTCATTTCCTCAATTTTGTCTCGGTCAGCGTTGCCAAGAAATTGCACGCATTCACGGGATCATAATGTTGTATCGAGGATGGCGAGTATTGAAACGAGAACTTCTCAGAAATAATGAAAATTAGAACTACAGTACGTGGAATTTGTTTCGAATGTGAAACCATAACGTGTCAGGAAGCTTTTCTAAAACGGTTACTGGACAGTTGTGTTTTTTGTGTTGAGTTTTCGTATACTAATGCTAAGGCACTTTTTTCTACGTTTAAAAAAAGAAAATCGTCTTAATTTTCTGTCAGTTTCCGTGAAAATTTTTTTTCACTTCCTCAATGTAAAACACGTCAGGGATGCCAAGATGTTGCAATCATTAACTGGATACTGATGTTTTATTGAGAATGGGGCGTGTACTGAAGTGAAAACTTCTCCAAAATCATGAAAATCGGAACTGCTGTACTGTACATGGAATTAGTTTCAAAATGTGAAACCGTTAATTATGTCTCCGGTATCTCTTCGACAACAGTCGCGTTTTTTGTGTTGAATTTTTCGTCAAGTAATGCTACGCATTTGATTCTTCCTGTTGAAGGTGCACAAAAACGTTCTTGTGGCTGGTAGGTACAATGTATCAGAAGTTAGTGGACACGCGGTGGACTTGTCCGTGACTGACAGCGGATCACAGACTCTTGTGAGTCGAGTTTCGACGACTGGCGGCAAATTTGTGTTCATCAACGACGACGTGGACCTTTTCCAAATCTGCTTCGTGTCTCGCATAGTTGATCAGAAACTCGTTCCGCGGAAAGTTACTTTCCACCAAGTGTTTCTCGATGTGCGTCACGGCGTAGAAGCTAAAAGCTACGAAGGTGCGGTGTTTCTTTGACCGACTGCTCAATCTCGATAACTTTCCAGTAGAACTCGGTTGTTTCAAAAGAAGTCCGCTGAGTCATCGTTTTATGAAGAAAAATTTGCTTTTTCTACTCCCTTTATGTTTTCGAAGTATGCATAATGAGGAAAACATTTCAACGTTGCAGGGTTGAAGAACACAGCGAAACTGCAAGAGATGGAAGTTGAACTCAGACGACTGGAGGACCTGAGTGCGTCAATTATGCACGATTTCAATGTGATGAAAGAAAGAGAAGCAACGATGCGGGACACGAATGAGTCGACGAACTCACGAGTGCTCTTGTTCAGCGCATTCGGGATCTTGTGGCTCGCTGCTGTGGCTGGTTGGCAGCTGTCACATTTTTGGAGTTACTTCAAGACAAAGAAGCTCATTTATTAACGCCGAAATTAGCGTGTGCGGTTCGTGATATGGTTATGCGGTTTCGATTATATTTTTCTCTTGTGTTTTTGGTGGACTGGATCTAAGTGCGGAACTGTCGTTGGAGAAATGAAGATTGATTTTTGAAAGGTTGTGGCGTTGCGGTTCATTTTCTGCTGCGCAACCTTCACGACTTCCACGTTCCTTTTGAATCTTGTTATTCTAGGACGGTTTTCATTTGCAGCTGTTGATCGAAAAGTTGTTGATTCTTGAATCTACTCGCATTATGTATAACGAGGGAAAGGCGGGCATACTTCAAGAACGTGGAAATAAGTCGTCGTATTCTGAAATGTTCCTCTGTTCCCTGTCGGTGTTTCAAGCCAGATAGATGGAACCCTCCTAAGATAAAACGCGGAAAGAAATCATGCTTTTAAAATTTGTGCGTTCAGCGCCAGCATCCGTTACCGGTGTGCGGAGTAACGTGTCGAATTTTCAAGTGTCGCGAAGTGCGTCGAGTGTGATTCAGAAACACGGTGAAGTGCCATGTTCCATTTGCGAAGACGACGGCGGACAAGTGGTGAAGGGAGATGCAGTGAAACTCGATGGGTTGCCGCCATCCTCTCCAAAAACGGAATGGTGCGGTCCTGCGGACCCAGTTTCGAACATTCGTCACATGCTCTTGCCCACGCCTTCCACTGAAGGGGAAACACACCTGCAGAGGAAATTACGGATCACGAAAGAGGCTGTGAATGTTTGGCATCAGAGCTTTTGGAAGGAACACAACACCGCATTTTTCAAGGTATGTATGGCCAATTCTTGACAAACCAAAGGCAAGGGTTAGCCGCAATCCTGCCGAAGATTATTGTTATCCAATGCCGGATGTCAACTGTTTGTTTTAGGGAAAGCAAGAGTGGATGAAAGTGCACGAAGTTGAAGGCACGCGGGATCCTGTGCGGGTGTCAGAGTTTTACAAGAAGTTTTTGGACCAAAACTGGGAGAGGCACGTGAACTACAACTTTGAGTGGTACAAGAAGAACTTGCATCTGATCCTCTTGAGCTTGTTGGTCCAGGTCGAAGGTGTTGTCGGGAAGTTACGCGTTAGGTAGAAAAATGCAGTACTTCGGTAGTGCTGTACAGTTCATGTAAATTCTTGTGTGACTCGATCTTTTTTCAATGATATTTGGTGACTGTCGAGAACAATGTATTCGTTTTCGATGAAGTTTGCATCCTTGCGGCATAGAAGTTTCAGTTTTTTTTTTCAATCAATAGGAAGGAAGAAATGAAGCGGTGAACTCTGAAAATCGCACCGCGGTTGAACCTCATTTCCTTCTGATGAAGGAAATAATCTGAAACGCGTAACAATTCTATTTCCGAATCGTAATTGTTGCATGCGTTTGTAATAGAGCATAATTTATCAACCTTGAAGCTCGGTGTGATCATGTACCTCATATCTTGAAACTGAAAATTTAACGAACTCGGCTATGGAAAATTATTACGATTCAGTTGGAAATTTCCATTCCAATATGAAGTTCGAGAATATCATGACTTCTTTTTCCAGCTTACACAGTGAACAGGAAATGGTACTACGTGAAGTACTGTAATCATTAAAAATCAGAAAATGCAGGTGCATTTCTTGATCAAGAAGAATGACCTATCTAGAGTGATATAAAAAAATTTGGCATAACCAGAAACAAACCAGCCTCAAATGCAAGTACTGATTTACCTGACTGTTATCCTCTAACCAGCAGACCTATTCAACCTCTATACGTGGGTTCTAATAAAAGTTCTCGGAATGAAAATGAAGATGGTGTCTAATGGAGCTGAAAAAAAATTCTTCTTTAGGGCAACCATATTCTTTGGCACAAAAAAAGAATCAGCCCTGTTCGAAAAATTTTTTGCAAAATTCTCCCTGGCAGAGTTTTGCTATACACTCAACAGATGAGGCACCCTTCCTGCAGTTATTTTTTTTGTGGCCCAGCTTTCCCCTCAGAATTCTTGAAATCAACTTGGCAGTAATTCCAAGGGTTGCCTCCAGGTCTTCCAAGGCAATTCCACCATTTTCATCAACAGCCGCCTTCACAGCCGCCAAAGTGGCTGCCACTTTTTTTCCAGCTCAAAAGTGGCGGCTGTCAATTAAAATGGCGGAATTGCCTTAGATGACCTGGAGGCAACCCTTAGAATTAAACAAAAAAAAACTGCAGGAAGGGTGCCTCATCTGTTGAGTGTATAGCAAAACTCTGCCAGAGTGAATTTTGCAAAAAATTGTCCCACTGGGCTGCTTTTTTTTTTTGCCAAAGAATATGGTTGCCCTAAACAATAATTTTTTTCAGCTTGATTAGATGCCATCTTCATTTTCATTCTGAGAACTTTTGTAAGAACCCTTGTATAACCCCTGATTTGATGTAGCACAACCTATAGTCAACCTGGCCTGGACCATTTCATCTTTGTTGACCTGCTGATTGGCAACCTAACAAAATTTGTGCAGCTTATCATAATTGATAGACCCAACTTTGCCAGTTACCTGTTGTGCCTGGACTGGTGGCTACAAACAATTGTAAGCTGAGGTCATGAAACTCTGAATGTTAAGGTGGATACCCTCAGCTTGGTAACTGAGTGGGGTGCCTGAGTAGGATGGATAATTGCAGAAGTGGTCAGGTCAAGTAGTTCAGACCTGAGGACCAGGGAAATCAGTTATGAGGTGGTGTGGGCAAGACCCACGCAAACTTGCTGCTCACTGTTGGTAGAAACTGACTTGTGTAGAATAGAGCAAACTCCCAAAAATTTGCTATCTGCAAGATTATTCACAGCAGAGTGGTGAATTTTATGTTTCCAACAGAAAATAAGCTTGAGAGCTTATTTCAAGATTTTAATCAAGTGGGTGTGCAAATGTGTGAATTTGTCCACATAAATGGTTTGCCTGTAATACAAATGACATATACATTGTCAAAAATGCAAACAGGACAGTAAAAAAATGCATCAGAATACATTCCCCAAAATCAGGAGGAAGCAACTCAGAACCACCCTTCCCAAAACAGAACTCAGAGATGACTGGTTCTAAACCAGGGGGAAATCCTGAGTCAAGGAAGACGGGGTGGAAAATTTCCACCAAGGACAGTAAACCAGATCCCCTTAACACCTTTCAAAACAAAGGGGAAACAAGTTTAATTGCCAGCAGCTGCCTGGGGACCCCTCCCTTTTCAGTATTCCCTCAAGGAGGGGAAGTCAAGGCTAAGATTGCTGACTCAAATGTGCCAGCCTTGCCTACATGGCATTATTGTTGCTAACCAATTAAACAGAAATGCCTTGCAGTGGAAAATTCCTGGATTTCCACAAATCAAACCAATTGCATTCAAATTTTGAACTCTGGACTCTGCTGTTTTCTCCCTTGATGTTTACAACATGTGGATTCTTATTGTTCCAACATCAGAACAAGAATCTATGATCCAATGTTGGAAAAAGAATCCATGTTCTGACTTTGGAACAGGAATCCATGTGTTGACATGAAAGTCAAAGATGGCACATGAATTCTCCCTCCAGCACAGGAATGTCAAACAAGGACTTGGCCCAAATCAGGTTGCAGCTTTGACAGTTACCTTACCTGATTGATGTGACTTGAATTAACACAATCAGCCTGACTAAAGCAGACACCCAACTTCAGCTGGTACCTATGTGTAACAATTGTATTATAAAAATGTATTTAAAACCTTGAAAGGAAACTTGAATTTAGGATGTGCAAACTGCAGATATTTTTGTCCTTCCTGCACTCAAGCCCAGACCCCCTGAAGCGTCACCACCTGTTGGGGGCCACAACAGGGTTAAAACCATCCTTGGGAGCAGCTGCTCCACCAGGGGGATTTCCAGGAAGCCCATTTAAAACAGAAATAAATTGGAAGAAAGTTAAGTGGTTGCCCACTGAGAATTTCAATTTGCAGTTGGACTTTCTGCCTAAAAATAGAAGCCCTCCCATTGAAAATTGTCTAGGTGGAAGATTAAACCTTCCTCCCCAGGCATCCCAGTTGTTCTCCGTGCATTTGTACAAGATTTATTTTGAACATTTGGCAACTTCTGATTGGGCTTTCAAGTGCATTTCCACCCATTTGTGTGAGTGTTTTGCGGTTGTTCAAGAAGCTTTTAAGCTTTTTGGGAAGGGGGAAATTGAGATGTATATATTTGGGTGTTTGAAAGAATAGAGAGCAGAACAAGATCAGAACTCAAGAAGCAAGGCAGCAAGTCTGTGTGCTACAAGAATACAACTTTGTAAAAACTTGAACTCAAGACTTTGAAGATTTTTACTTTGCATTGGACAGCATTACAGTCCAACACTTGAGCACTCTAAAGGAAGATCTGATAGAAAGTTGTGTGAGAAAGCAACAGCAGGAGCAGAAGGAATTTTCCTACAGTTCATTTGCAAACAGGAAGCATGAGATATATTTTACAGTGTTTGCTGGTCCTCCAAACTGGATCTTGGAGATTTTTTCAAGTTCAAGACTTCAAAGAAAGTGCAGATTAAAGTTTTGAGTGACTCTGTTAAGGTTGAGGCAAAATTGTGAGTTCTTATCTAGACCTGGTGTAGTACTGCATTGTGACCACTGGGGCGGAGATAAAAAATGCTAAAGTTTGGCACTCCAAGGCAGGCCAAGTAAGTCTACACACACTTCACTGGGGGGGCACAGTCAGCCTGCTCAAGAATCTCAACAATAAGCCAATTCCCTAACATTAATTTCCTTGCGTGAAGACAGAATTGAAAGAGAAATTCTAGCAATATGTCAAAAAAATGGAATTCAATCACAACTAGTGCACCACTTGGAAATTCCTCAAAGGGCACATTGCCATTCAAGAATTTGTCCCAACAACTTATTGAAACCTGCAGAGTCCTACAATAATCAGGAAAAGCCAATAATATTGAAGAAAAGAAGCAGATGCTGAAAAAATTGGACAATTTATTAGTGAAGGGGCAAGAGAGGGAGGAATACATTAAAAATCCTGCTGGGCAACCTAGAGACTCTCAGGAAGAAATAGACAAGTGGGAAAAAGTCAAACAATAAGCTGAATTGTTCCTCCAAGAAAATTGGATTGCTGATCTAAGAAACAAAATTGAAATAGGAAATTCAGCAGAAGCAGATTCAAGTGAGCTGACAATTATTTCAGAAAAAAATCAAAACAAACCTAACCAGAAAAGTGGATTGGGAAAAGCAAGCCAAATACTCTCAGCAAATATAATGTGCTTCATCACAGAAATTGAAAGAAAGCTAGAAAAATTGAGAGAAGAGAGTGAGCATAGTGACAATTTCAAGGCAACACTCAATAGACAAATTGAAAAAGCTCAAGCCATATCACAACCAGCATTCAATGATGAAAACCTGGATGCTGAAAGTGAAGAAGAAATGAGGAACTTATTTGTGGTGCAAGAAAGACTGGATGAGTTGATATTTGTTGCAAAACTTGAAATGGAGAAACTCAATGAATTGGTGATTGTGAAAACAAGAGAGAAGGAAATTTTGAAAGCTTGCAGAAAAGGTGAAAAATGCGGAGAAACAGAAAGAGGTGCAGCTTGCAAAATCCAGCCCCATGAACTCTTGAAAATGGCTGAGAGGAACTTTGGGAACTGTAAAAGTGAGCCCCATCTGGATGGAAGCAGTGATGGAACAGTTAAAGCTTTAGCCAGAGCACTTGGAGATGTTGCCCTGCATCCAGAAATTGAGATTCAGCAATTTGAAGGTGACACTACTGAGTTTCAACCCTTTCTGCAAATGCTTCAAGAATTGACCCAAACAATTAAGTCCAACATACAAAGGTTTGTGCTGCTTAAAAGTTATTTATGAGGTGAACCCCTGACCCTGATGTCAAGCATCAACATGGATAATGGAGCTTATATAAAATGGCACTCTCAATCTTGAAAGAAGAATATGGGTCTCCTCATAAAATTATCAGGGATCTGACTGGAAGATTGAAAGAAGTACCCACAGTAAAAATGAATGCTGCTAAGGAACTGAGGGATTTATCAAACAGGATTNCAGGTCTAGATAAGAACTCACAATTTTGCCTCAACCTTAACAGAGTCACTCAAAACTTTAATCTGCACTTTCTTTGAAGTCTTGAACTTGAAAAAATCTCCAAGATCCAGTTTGGAGGACCAGCAAAGGGGAAATAGAACCCCAAGGGCACCAAGTACACTGGAATCATTTGCAATGTTCCTGAGATACATTCTAATGGACTGGAGGGAATCAGTGAATGAACCAGAGAAGGAGAGAAAGCAATCCGCTTCTACTACCAAAGAATTTTGCACCAATCAAGCTAAGAGAGGGCAAAAGAGAGAAGATGCTAATTTTGTGGTACAAGAGGGAACAAGCCAAACCAAAGACAAATTTCCCTGCCTAAACTGGAAGAAGACAAATCATGTTCTACCAGAATGTTATTTCTTCAAGAAACTTTCAGTCAAAGAGAAAAGCAAAAAGGGAAAGGAAAAGGAGCATGTTTCAAATGTTTGAGAACAGGACACATGACCAGGCAATGTCATTCCAAAATCAGATGCAAAACCTGTAATAATCATCACCGCACACTTTTTCATGGATGGGATGTTACTCAAAAACCTTCAGTGCCTGAAGTGTCAAATGGGAAGGAAGACAAGGCTGAAATGGGGGGAGCCACAAAACCAACAGAAGCATCAGCTCAAGATGTCAATGCAATTGCAGCACACAGAAATATTTTTCCACTACATATGGTCCATGCAGAAGTGAAGGGGCCTAAAGGGATTAAAGAAGTGGGAATCCTATGTGACAGTGGAAGCTCAAGAACCAATGGCATCTCATAAAGCAGGCTGCAACAAAAAGAAAAATAACATTACCAAAACTGTGCATTGCATGGAGGAAATGGGTAGAAACTCAACCTAAATTTGAAGGCTCCTATGTCAAAGACCTTAACTATGATCAAGTGAAAGTCATTATAGGGGTTGACCAAGAAGAATTACTTATGCCAATTCCCAACAGCTTTGTGAAGGATAGAAAAACAGGAATACATGGTTACAACACAGCATTGGGGTGGACTTTGACTGGAGACATGAAGCTCACAGAAAATGGAGATGCAAGTTTCGTCCAAGTTGGAATCTATCTTGCAGAACAATTCAGGTGCTTCACAGATGTTGAGACCACAGGCATCACAAGACCTGAGGAAAATTTGAGCCTTGTGATGTTACAAAATGGAAAGAAAAGATTAAGAAAGAAGTACTACACAATGGAGAGAGGTACATAGCTTCAATGATGTGGAAAGAACATCCCAGTATCCCAGAGTCTAAGTCACAAGCTAAAAGATGTATGGAACTATTGGAAAGGCATTTGGCAAAAGACATGAATCTGAAGCAGCAATACAATGAAACTTTCAAGAGGGACTTGGAAAAGGGATACATTTGCCTATTGACAGCAGAAGAAGTTGAGGAATATGAGAAGGGTCCACATTACTATCTCCCACACTTCCCAGTATTTCACCTAGACAAGCCTGACAAGGCACGTAGAGTGATGGATGCCAAGACCAAAAATTGGGGAAGAAGCTTGAATGATCTTCTGGAGACAGGACCAAATCTTCTTTCCAACCTTTTGGGAGTTCTTCTAAGACTGCGGATGAAGAAAATAGCTATTAATGCGGATGTCAAAGAAATGTTTCCTCAAGTCTTAGTTCAGAAACAAGAACAGAAGATGCTAATGTTCATGTGGAGAGAAGATATCAACAAACCAATCAACACATATGTCAGCTGTGTGCACATATTTGGTGCTGCATGTTCACCAGCAGTAGCCAATTTCTGTGCCCAACTTACTGCCAGTGACACAGGGAATCCAGAACTCCAACAGTTAATCTGCAGAAGCTTCTATGCGGATGCTTTATATGCATCCTTCAACACAACTGAAGAGGCAAACCAATATGGAAAGCTGATCAAAGACACCCTGAAAAGAGGGGGATTTGAATTGGATAAGTGGGTCAGCAACAATCCTGAGGAGCAGTTGTTCAAGAAGCTTTTAAGCTTCCTGGGAAGGGGGAAGTTGGGATGTATAAATTTGAGTGTTTGAAAGAATAGAGGCAGAACAAGATCAGAACTCAAGAAGCAAGGCAGCAAGTCTGTGTGCTACAAGAATAAAACTTTGTAAAAACTTGAACTCAAGACTTTGAAGATTTTTTTACTTTGCATTGGACAGCATTACAGTCCAACACTTGAACACTCTAAAGGAAGATCTGGTAGAAAGTTGTGTGAGAAAGCAACAGTAGGAGCAGAAGGAATTTTCCTACAGTTCATTTGCGAACAGGAAGCATCAGAAATATTTTACAGATACACTATCTTGTAATTCACGCGACAGTATCATGCGGTGTCAAAACTTATGCATATCATGAAATTTTTCTAAAATGTATGATTTTTCAATGTTTGACGAACTAAAATGTACCTTTTTCCTCGGAAACAAGACCCTCAACGCGACTACATCGATCCAATAGACACCTGAGCCTCATCACATGATTCGCTTTCACATAACAGAATTTCCGCAACGGGTTCACAATCTCCTCCCGCAAGATGGCCTGCAACTCGCTGTACTCCTCGATATCACATGCCTTTGGTGGACGGTACAGCACAGAATCAAACACACTGCAAGATAAAAAAGGCGATGAGAATTCTTTTTTTCCGGCGTTCTTCTCTCAAGGAATCTCTTTTCTAATCACCAGGAATAAGTAAACATGGCAAAAAGCGTTGCGTCAAGATAACACGAATTCAGGTGTCCCTGGATGCCGCGATACGGACCACAGAGTCTGTCTGACGTTTGACACGGAGCTACAATCCCTGGAACCACGCAGTCAGCCTCCAGATCTGCAACGAATAAACCTTACAGTACAGTACTGAAATTTTTACGAACACTGTACTGTACTTCGATTTGACAAAAATACTCACTCAGACTGGTGCTCGGCCTTGGAGATGAGCTGGACGAGAATCTTCGGTCCCGCTGGCACTTGGCAAGTGGCAGGAACAGCGCTCGTTGAGGCCCGCAATAAAAGTATCGTTTCCCGTTGAAAACTCCGTCAGAGAAACGTTCGTCTTCCTCTTCCTATTGAAGCAATAGCAGGTCACGTGAATCAGGAAATCACATTTTACGAAACATTCACTCCACACAAGAAACTACCAAAGACAGATCATGTAATTTAATATTATGTGAATCTTTTAAATTACCTGACAACCGTTGCACAGAAAATATCGTTTTTTGCACCATATATATTAATTTCAGCAACAACAAAAAATCAACGATGAAGGGGAAAATCATGCAATTCGTTTTAATTAAAAAAAAATGTTTTCCTCAAAATAAATCTGGCGATATTATCATCGACAGACTGAGGGGAGTCTGTCAGGAAAGAAGGAGCCATTGAATAATTTCATTTTCGAAGAAAGATAAGAAAAAACCAAATGTATAGTGGGGCAATGAAAACTTGGCATTTATCCACATGAAAAAAAAGAGGTCAAAACCAAAAATATTTTCATTCTCGACACAAACGCTACCAACAGGAATTTCTCATTTGTCTCGATCAGTGGAAAATCATAACTTACAAGTGAAAATAAAAAAATAATAATTTTAAACACTGAAATTAATTATTTTGTTTTCGTGTGTGTGTGTCAGCTGCCAACCATTTCAAGCCCTGTCATCAGCTGTCCCTCGAGGTCCTGGTCATCAATGTAGCCTATCCAGCGGATAACCCCGTAGAAGACGTCTTTGAACCAGCCAAAAACCTCGACGAGACTGCCAACTTCCATGATGTCTCCATGCCTGGTGGCACCACACGGCAGCGTTGCCGGCAGCAAAGACTGTTCAGGTGAATCCGGAAGAGACATGTCTGCCGTTGATGCACCCACATCTTCATTCTGCGAAGGCAAAGTAGCATTTCTCCGCAGGATCCCGGTCCTCACTCGGGGGTGCTCTTCCACTGGGGATTTCCCGTCCTTCCTCATACCACCTGCTTTTACTGAAAATTGCGCACACAATTTGTTCAAAACGGTACTTTAATTAAAGTCATATTGTACTCTGTTTTAAACCTAGTATTCCGTGAAAATATTTCCAAGCCATTCAATTAGGATTAGGATTAGTAACTTCTACGTGTAATAACATTCACAATGACGTAACGAGGAAACCTAGCTCGAAATTGATGAATTTCGAGTCTGAATGCTACAAATTTGAGAAAAGTCAAACTCTTGCGTAAGAATTTCCCCGAATCGAATTTAAAATTTGACAATATCTTGCGAAAATAAGTAAGAGGTCTGATTCAAGTCTTCATATCGATTCCACAACGTTTTGAGAAATTCAGACCGAGGAATTTCAGACTAGCAAAATTGCTGCATCATCCCTCGTACATAGAAGGTAAAATGAAATAAAATTCATAAAAACACTAGAACAATTTCCAAATAATATACCTGAACACTTGGCAACTCCTGTCCCACACCTGGAAGCAGCTGGAGCTGAAACCCTGGACTGCTGACCTGAATCCTCCCCCGATGACTCCAGCCCGCTGCACGACAAGAATGATATCAAGTCCGAGGATCCATTGCCACGAAAGCCAACGTTGATGGAGTCGCAGTCTGATCCGTACACAGCATCTGGCCCAATTCCAGGGTCATTGGTTTCCGTGAGGCAAAAGAAATCTTCGCTCTTCACCAGCTCTTCTATGCGCACCAGTCCCGCTCGTTCGGGCCTTGCCGTGAAAAGAATTTTCCCGTCGGACCAGGCGCTGTCTTGTCCTACTGGGTTGTCCTGCAATAAAAGTACGATGTTCGAATGATACATTGAGACACTAGTACCGTACTTAATACAGATTTGTTCACAAACTTTCCCAAGTTATGCGTCATTCTGTCAACAAGATACATTACTTTTTACGGGAATAATTTTAAGCGATTGATATTGTATTCCTCTCCGAATTCTGTACCTTTTGCCTGTCAGGAAACAGCAACATGAAGGTGCAAATGAAGATTTGATACATGCACGTACACGAATGTATTAATAATTTACAGGTGGCCCAATTGCTATTGAATGGAACATTCGAAACAAATGAAAAATATTGCCTCATGTAAAAAATAACGTAATAATGAGAAAATCGTATTGATAACTTCGTTTAAAATAAAAATTAATGAGGGTAACCTTTAATTCAACAATTGAGCAAGCATTTTTTATGGCACTGACTTCAATTCAATTGTCAGATAATTAACATAAACATGCATCGGATTAAAAGCTCAAGTACCCCTATAACTTTCTGACAGAGCTCATTTTCGGCACTCAATTCTTCCATTAAATTCATTAAAAAGCTTCAACATAGACACACTTGTTTGCTGGGTCTACGTAATGGAAGGCTCATCTCCTTCCTAGTTTTTCTTTCAAAACACTGTACTGGACAAATACTAGCAATTTATGAACCAACCCTCACAGAACTACAAGGGACACTCACAAACTCGACTCCAACCCAAGTTCTCAGCGCATTTCCGTTTTCCGGCAACTTTCCGATCCAGCGAACACTGCCGACCTCAGCTGCCCCATGCTGAGTCACGTAAACGACTCTGTCATTAAGGTTCAAGGCTTCAGCCAATAGCGAGCCTTTCAAATGAGACGAGGCATTCATCCGTCACTAAATGCATCGCTTGCCAACACTATTATCACTCACTCCTGAAAGAATAATAATAAAGAAAAATTTAATTGAGCGCTCGCAAAACAGCGCTAAATGCAAAATAATGGCCAGATAGTGACAATTTTTTGCACCACACGCGTCAAAAATAAACGTCAGGATGCTTGTCGAATCACTCTTGTTTCCGGCTCCATTCCACGCATCTTGAGGTACACCAAGGATGCCGCTTGTTCAGCATACCGACGGCTTTTCTCTCTGCAACCACCGGAAAAATTATTTCCTCATAATTCAAATGCCATTTTTTTAAATGCGGAAGACTCACCCCGGATGAGATGTCCATTTCTTTCCATCAAAAGACAGCACCGATTTGAAAAGCCTTTCCAGTTGCTTAGTTTCAAATTTTGGCGGCGGTTTTCGCTCCGTCCTCGCCAATGTGAAAAGAAGAGTCCTCGGCAAGTTTTCGTCAGCGTAATGCCTTCGCACGAAGGTAACCGGCATTTCGACGACGTCATCAACTGTCGTTTTATCATTGGTTTCGTCCAGTCGAAGCTTCTTTCGACAAGGTTCAGTAACAGACCAAATCAAATCTGTCTCTGGACCGGGGCCCAACTTGATGGCATCCAGCATTCGGTCATCATGCACAGACTTGAAGTACTCCTCAAGCTTCCAAATCGAACTGAGCATCAAAATTTGATGAATTCAATTGATCATGTGGCATAACTTTTACTGTTGTTTTATCACACTCTTTTGTTTTATCAGTCTGCAAATTGTATAATTCGAAGCATGCTACTATGCTAGGCACTTAAATCAAAGCAAAACTTTCCATTTTTCGCGTACACTGACCTTCACTAAAATTCACAGAGCAATGAGATAAAATTTATGCGATACCTACGAGAAGCAAATTAGGATCGAAGACGCCGAAAAATTGGCATCCCACGAGAGAAAATCGCGCAAAGACGATTATCCCGTTGACCTGAAAATCTCGCGGGGCACAAAAATCCAGGAACATGTATTTATGTTTTAGAAGAATCCTTTTGATGATAAAAGCAGGTAAATGGTGTGTACACAATTTCTAAATTATTAAACAAGTCTAAATGCATTTCGATAGAGAAATTTTATTGAGTAAAATTTCTAAAGGTGAGGAAAAATCAAAGCAATAAAAAATTCAAGGCTTCAAGAAATTCAATGCAAGCTTTCTACTTCAGAGCCATAGTTGGCCTGTGATAATCAGTTCACATTCAAAACAAATGCAGGGATGAAAGCTCCAAAAGAAGGCTACATTTTTCTCGAAGTTCCTTTCTCTTGGGAAAGATGATCCTAAACTTTGAAAACCGTTTGAAGGAAAACCCAGACAAACTTTCACAATTACATAATCCACCAGGAATTAATTCCTTTCAAAGCAGTTCGAAGGAAATACCTGTCTTACCTTCACATTTTCAAGTACACGGGATTTTCGTTCCCTGCAAGATTTTAAGGGCTACAGGATTATGGGCCCCACGGGATTCCCAAGATGCGAGATTTCCACTCCCACGGGGCTTTCTCTTGCACCCAAAAGTTTGAGGGTATGATGGAAAATAACACAGTTACTCAAGAAAGTACTCACCAGAGTTCTTCTAGAGTTTGTGCCTTCAATGTAGCAACTCCTTCGACTGAAGTGTGTTGCATGTTTCCCAGCATATTTTGCACAGCATACTTGGAATTATTCGACTGGTTATCAAAATCCACACATAGCATCAAGTAGTCCCGTATCACTTGATCAACACTCAACATCCCTTCACGACGAAACACCGAACAGTTCCACTCTGCAGCACGAGCAATCATCACACTGGCTGCTTTCGTCGAAGCTTTGAACTTCAAGATGTCCTCAAATGATGCTATCTCCTTCGATCCTCCACTTTTCATCAAACGAATTATTTGCATATTAAGAGTGCAACTCGTGGTGAAATAAGATAAACTTACTTCGCAATAAGTGGTACGTGAGACACTTCAGTTAGCGCGGCGATGTAATCGTTACGATTTTCATGCTTCGGACGTTCATCTTTCGTACGTCCATGAACACCGATTGCGGCCACACCGGTAGCGGAGATTAATTTCACTAGTTTCTTAGTTTCCTCCAGACAGGGCTTCACTCGGATTTTGCAGGTAACGGGGATCTTGGAATGACGTATCATGTTTGAGAGAATCGCTTGAATCTTATCCGGATGATCTAGCAATGCGGCTCCCATTCCGCCCTTCAACGAAAATTCCTTGGGGCAGCCCATATTAACATCAAACCCAGCTACGTCGCCTTGGCTAAAAGACACAATTCAACGTCTAAAGGAGCCGAAGGTATATTCTCAGTGAATAAACTTACAATTTATCAACAATTTTTGCTGCTCGGTCAGCACAACAAGTGCCGATTTGCAACACAACCTTTCCAGCCTCTTCCGCGCATGTTCGAAACACAACAGTTCCGTCGGTCATATCTACGTAATCGACAGTTCCCAACAGGTCTGCACGAAGAGGGTAAAATTTCAGCATACATAAAATCGCCTTTCTCTAATTTCTCAATGACACTCACTGTTCTCAATCCGTTTTGACCGAAGTAGCTTGACATCCACCAATTCCTCACAATACACTATGTCTGCACCATAGCGCAATGCCAGGAGCCGCATGGGAAGAGTTCCGATACGCACCATGGGCGCAAGTATCATTTTGTCGACATAATCGAGCATTTTAAAGTGAACGCAAGCGGAACAACCGATTTCCTTATCTGCAAATCAGGAAGCAGTTTCAAATCGGGTAGAAATACAAGGATCCGTTATACCGGCAGAAAATTATCAAGCTTCGCGGCACAAAAATTATGCTTTGCAAATACACATCACAAAATTCCATGGATATCGTTGGACTTCCGCGTAAACCTATAGTGATTCCGACCCAGCTTTCACGTCTTTGCCAAGCCTAACCCGACTGTCAGGTCTCACCTGAGATAAATTTCCCGATCCAATCGTTCTACCATGAACATCGCGAGCTCAGAGCAGTTTCGGTGGGACAGAACAACGATCAGGAATCTAGGGCACGTGACTTGACAGTACAGTGATGTTTTGGGCAATGCTGTGATCAATCGCAACCAATACGTAAAAATCTTGGACGCAGGTTTCGCTGCACAACACTACGCCAAGTGTTCTGAAACTGACAGGATCTCCTACACTACTGTACTGTAAAATTCAATGTACAGTAATGCGGCACCATGTTGACATAGAATGCAGGATTCCGGTTTTCTATGCACTATTTGTAGTTCAAAAAAGACTACAAAAATTATGCCACAAAAATTTCGATTTTATGCTTGCTCGCATGTATTTAACACAATTGATTATGTGTTTGTGACTCAATCCCAAAAATAGCTTGCTTGCATTACCATATGTTTCTGTAAATTGTAATTACTGTATGTTACTGTACAGTCATTAGCCGCCGCTTCATCTCAATTTAGTTAGATGTCGCTAGCATTCCATGAGCTCACATTACGGTTCGGTACAATATCTCTGTAGAAATTCTGAGACAAGCCACACCAACTCTTCCGGGGATCGGTTAGATCTCCAGAAGCAGTTGTTGCATTCGTTCACGTAATCGACCAAGGTGCGACGAATGGGAAGGTGATGTTAATACGGATTGTGTGATGTTGGGTAATCGATTTTTCGAATGAGCGTGTTCTACGTTTAAGTGTTGAAAAAATGTTTCAATATTGCATAATTATGAAACAATATTTTTCGAATGCTTTCAGGATGAGTTCCGATAGAGATGTTGTATCGAAAGACCGTTCTAGACGACGAAGTGCGGAGAGGCATCGCGATAGAAGAGGAGAGCGGGACGTGCACAGGGAAGAAAAATATAGCGAAAATCGAAATAAACGGCAGTCTGATTCTAAGCGACGTCGAGTTTCGTCCCCAGATTACCCTGCAAATGTGAAGCGGGAAAACGTGAGTGATGATGAGATGAAGCAAAGCCGAAGTAGACATCCGCGTTCGAGTAGAGACAAAAAACCTTCGCAAGTGAAAGTCGAGCGAGAGTTCAAACGTGAGAATGATGAATCACCCAAAGAATACGGTCGGGCTTCCGCGGATGAACCAGTGGAAGATAAAAAGAAACCCGATTTCGGTTTATCGGGTAAGCTGGCGGAAGACACAAATACTTTTCGAGGCGTCGTCATAAAATATTCGGAGCCTCCGGAAGCAAGAAAACCGACACGCAATTGGCGACTCTACGTTTTCAAGGAGACAGAATCCCTGCCGCACATAGAAATCCATCGACAAAGTGCGTTCCTTCTCGGACGCGATCGTAAAGTTGCCGACATCCCGATCGACCATCCATCTTGTTCTAAGCAACACGCCGCCATTCAATACCGCGTTATACCGTTCACACGTGCGGACGGTAGCACAGGCCGAAGGGTTCGACCTTACATCATGGATTTGGAGTCTGCCAACGGAACTTTCGTAAATAATAAGAAAATACCTCCGAAGTGTTATGTTGAACTGCTGGAGAAGGACGTCATAAAGTTTGGTTTCAGTTCTCGAGAATATGTTTTGCTCCATGCGGATAGTGCTGATAGTGATGAAGAACCTGCTCCATAGTCGTGTACCTCATTTATTTTTTTTTTATACGAAGTTGAATGTACTTTTTGAATCATTGCCTGGTGTATCATAATTTCTCTGCGTAAACCTTATGCTCCTTGTTGATGTCAGAAGTTTGAGATTTGAACGGCTGACGTCGCATCGGGGTCATCCGGTTTCAGGATCCCAATCCATGCCACTTTTTCCATAGAGAGCAATACGAATTGAGATTTTTTGTTTCTTTCTGCAGGTATTTCATCTGAAAAATTGTGAAGACAAATGAAGGTCATTTTGCTCCATGTTTGTGTGACGAATTTTAAAATTTGTGTTCGTTCGCCGTTGCATATTTTGAGTGAGCGTCCGGGAGCATGTGACTTGAGTGTTCGAAGCAATGCGTCTGATGATATGGCAATCGTTTTTTGAATGTTTATCACGAAGGCTGTTTTGATTTTGTGTACCGTCAGTGTATTTGCGAAAAATGGCGGACCAGGTTGCTGAACGTGAGCTCAAATCACAAATGAGCGAAAATCACCACGTGCATTTCACCGACTCTGACGATCTGCCCGCTAACGATGAAATCGTCGTTGAGAAATTGGAAAACTCGCATTTCAAAGTGCATCTCGGATTTTTGCAGCATTTGCATCGCTACGTGCTCACCTTCACGGTTCCCGCTGAAGATTTTTCAGAGAATCTTGAGGTCGTTGAGGACGCCGTACCAAGCGTGAATTCCAAACTGATATCCGTCAAACAAGTGGACAAGGGGCTGATTTTCGAAGTGGAGTTTTTCGCGCATAAGGACAAATTGTTGAAGGAGAAATTGACTCTGAAAGACGGTGTGAAAAACGCGTCACTGATCCTAGATTTGAACGCTCGCGTGCTTGGTGAGTACATCTGATTCAGGTTGGACCAGGTGAAGTTATATCTACAGTATTTTTATACACTCGTATCGATGTGAAGATTGGTCATCATCTTCCTGGTCCATCCTGTATTTTCAAATTGAAAGGCTCAAGTTTGTTTCATATTTCCTTAGGTCATGGCAAGGGTACTCCAATGTTGAAAGACGGAGTGCATTGTTTGAGCGTCGAGCGCAACGATGATGATGATGGAGCGAATTCGGACTGGCAAGGTTTCTAGGAATGTTCACGAGCATGATATTGTTTCAAATCAATTAATTTTGTCAATCCGTCGACAATCGGCATCGAATGACTCGAATCTAGCGAGTCTGCGCGAACGTAGTTGTTCATAATGTGGGTTTACAGCATTGCGTTAGCAAAAAATGTTCCCGGAGCTTGAGAATCAATGAGAAAGAAATTTTTTCCGTGTGATTATGCATATGCATATTTCGATGTGCTTCTGATTTTATTGTATTCTTCGCGAGGCTTTCTATCGCCTATCAGCGCAGGCGAAAAAAAAATGTTTTGTCTGTGGTCTTCGACGGGGTTGATGTTGCGTGAGGATGAAGTTTGTTTTGTGGCCAAATTTCCGCATCAAAATACGAAGGAGGAAGTTTTTCTTGTTTGGATCTGTTTTGTTTAGCAAAAAAGCAGCTCATTATCGAATCTATCCTTCGAACAGTTTTCGAACTGAGTTAAAGACTCAAAACTGTTTCTGTCTATTTTGATGATCAGTGTTTGAATTTCGGAAGTTTATTTTTGTATTCCAGCTTGATTCTTCGTGTGCGAATGAGTGAAGAGCGCGTCTCGCTCGGCCAGTGCCACAATACACTTGTGGGTTTTGTCGCTTGTCACTTGTTTCAACCTTTGATCCCGTTTCACATCTCATTGGAATTTTTAATAATTGTACTTTTGCAGGCGTTTAAGTGAAGAGTTGTACCTCTACTTGAAAATGGCGGCGAAAGAGGAAGATCCGGAAGATTCTGCGGGTTACCGCTGGGAAGGCGGCTATGAGAAAACATGGGAGGCCATCGTGGAGAGTGCGGACGGTTTATTGGATCCATGCATTAGTGACATAATTGAAAGAGAGAAGAGAAAGCGGTATTTGGAAAGGAACAAGGATCGTGTCCGACTGGGTATGATGCGGCTTCTCATAATTGTCATAGACATGTCAGACGCCATGGAAGACAAGGATCTCAAACCGTCGAGGCAGCTCTGCACTCTGAAGCTTCTAGAGGTGATTAATACTGTGCTGTACTATTATTTTTAAAATCACGATGGTTTTTTTTAAGTACAGTACATAAATATTCCTGTACAGTAATTATCAAGTACAGTATTTCAAGTCATTTCTCTCTTTTTTTTATAATTTTTCTAGTTGGAATTTATTGTGAAGAATTTATTCTAAAGTAAACTGCCTCGAACACCGATATATCTGTCAAGTCTGATTTTTTTTTTTTTTTTGATTACAGGGCTTCGTGCACGAGTACTTCGACCAGAATCCCATCAGCCAGTTCGGCATTATCATAACGCGCAATAAGCGGGCGGAAATAGTCTCTCCGTTGTCTGGAAATGCCCAGAAACACCTGGAAGCTTTAGAAAAATTGAAAAAGCAGTATACGTCTGGGGAACCGTCGCTGCAAAACTCCTTGGATCTGGCGACTCAGGCTTTGCGACTAATGCCTGGCCATGCCAGTCGAGAAGTTCTGGTGATATTCGGGAGCCTCATTTCTTGTGATCCGGGGAGCATCATTGTAAGTCGACTAGATTTTGTATTGGGTATATCGACCCAGTTGAGGCCGTAGTGTAGTTTTCAGATATTCAACTTATTTTTCGTTTCCTTCTCAGGGTAAGACCATTGAGGACCTGAAGACGCACAGTATTCGATGTTCCGTGATTGGCTTAGCTGCTGAAGTCCGCGTCTGTAAGTTACTCTGCAAAGAGACCAATGGCGATTACAGCGTGATTCTTGATGGTGCACATTTCAAATCGCTTCTTTTCAGTCAGGTGAGTGATGGATTCTGCGATACGTGACGTGTCTTCACGAGGCAGGCCTTTATTTGTTTTTCACCCACTCAAACTGCACTTTATATATCGTTTCAAGTTTCCAAAAAATCTGTGGGGTTTGCTCCACAATACGGCGAAAATCCTTGTAACATTTTGGCTGAAAAATATTTTAAAATTTTATGCATCGTTATAACATTCCTGTGCTGAGATAAATAATCACGATCCACCTATAATTTCTCATCTAAAAATATCAGCTTCGGAAAAATCGAATCACGCGTCGAATGAGCAGTTCAGGTCTTGCGTTAGAGATTTGCCCTCAGATTTGGGGAAATTTTCGTGTAAGAGCGACAGGATAATCAGTTGAATTAGCGATTCTGTTTTCACCAACTAACAGAGGAGCTTTTTGGGAGCACATCTTAGACGCACAATTATTTTCTTCGTTCATTGAATCGTAAGCTGGAAAGTTTATCTAGTGACATTTTTTTTTTCTCTCCAGGTGAATCCCCCCATGGCGACTGCAGCATTGGAGTCGTCGCTCATCAAAATGGGCTTCCCGCATGCGGGCAAAACGCGACACGAGAAGCGAGTGTCGTTCTGCGTCTGCCATCCCCCTGTGTCGAATACCGCGGTGCGGATCCTCGACGAGGGCTACTTTTGCCCGCAGTGTTGCAGCAAGTACTGCCAAATCCCGGTCGAGTGCAAAATCTGTGGCCTCACGCTCGCCTCTGCTCCGCACCTGGCCCGCTCCTACCACCACCTGTTCCCGCTGAAGCCCTTTTCGGAGACGTCGCTCGCTGAAGCATTGTCGGTTGTGAACTCGGAAGAGGACTTGATGCAGTCGTATTGCACGGGCTGCATGGGCCATCTGAAGCCGTCGCGGCCCGTGTTCCGATGCGACGACTGCGCGGAATTGTTTTGTTCGGACTGTGACCTGTTTTTGCACGAGTATGTGCACACGTGTCCGGGCTGTGCGTCGCGAACCGACGCCGGCAAGGACGATCAACTGCGATACAGATGATATTGGCAATAGCGTTGTTGTTGTTTTGTCATTGGGATTTCGCCTCGTCAAACGGCGTTGTTGTGTGGTGGTTGGAGCCGCGGAGAATTGCCACGTTTCCTAAATCGAAAAATACTGTGTTGCGCCTCCGTTGAAATTTTATTGAAGCTCTTGTTTAGTCTAAGCATTAATACACATTATTCCGCAGTACGTCACGTATTGGTATCCCAGAATTTAGGCTGAAAAAAAGGAATGAAAGGCTACAGGGTTTTAATTCGGGCCGTGTATTAATGCTATTATTTAGAGCCCCATTAACCGTACGAAATTATTTGAAGCAAAACGTCAAAACGACGAAGTTCAGTTCATTATTAAGCAAAGGAATTCTTGGCTGTTGGAATTTTACAATTATTTGCAGCGAAGTTGTTCTGGCTCTTTTTTCCAAACCTCGACCCCATCAATGCGCAAAATTTGTTCAGTTAATTATATATCAATGTTTCCATATTATTGAGCTTTGGTTTGACTAGATATTGCCTTATTATCTATTGCTACATTAGTCGAATCACGCCTTCTTGGGTAGGTTATTTATTGTATCATTACTACAGCCCCATATAATTTTATGTCTACTATTTGAATGCTTTCCCCTAGGCTTCTTTCTGTTTAATTTCAACGTCGCACGAAGCGAATAATTTTTCAAAACCGGCGATCTTCCAAATTTTGACAAAAGCCCGAAGAATGGAGGAGCAATTTTTGAAAAATTGTCGGGGCTTGTTTCGGTTTTGTAATTCATGTAATATATTTTTTACAGTTCAGACGACGATGGTTTTTGGCTTCATGAGCTGGAAGCGTACGTGTGTTGTTGAGCGGAAGCTCTTATAATTTGGAAAAGTGTTGCTTTTGTTTGAGCGTTGATATTTTTTCGAACTCGAGCAAAATGGACGCGTCGAGTGGCGAAGATGTCGAGCATTTGTTTGAGAAGTCGCGCGTTTTCCGAATCGTGGGGGACAAGAAGTTTGTTGTGCGAAAACCAGGGGAACTCGTTCCTTCATGGGAGGTGAGTTGTGTGATGCATTACGCTGTCAATTTTGAGTATCTCTTTTGAAACACTTTTTTAATCATCATCTGTGAGCGTGGGCACCGCCGTGCATTTTAATGTGTCTTTTTTACCAGTCCTGGCGAAACAATAGTAGAGTTAATCCAGAAATTTGAATGACAAGCCTGGACATTTTAAGGAAACTGCCGTCTATGATTCCCAGATTTACGTGCAGTATATTTTAATATTTCTATAAAAGGTGAAGGATCTGCTAAACATGAAACGAAAGCTGAACGCGGTCAAGTCAAGTCTGGACCGGATGCCCGCGGATGCCTGGGGGGCTCTGACGCGTTCATCAAACGTTGCTGCGTTGGTTGTGTCTGCGACAAGAACATTCGCTGCGCCGGAACTTTGCACGCAGGTCCGGTCATTCGGTTTTTTGTGTGTGTTTTGCAGGGAATTTTCAATTTGTGACGTGTATCACATTTATTGCCTTTTCGAAAAATGATTGTGAAAAATAGGATTCACTCGTTGTAACAAGTTCCTTTGTGTATGTGTAGGCGTGGTGCAAATTCTACGAGTTGCTGTCAAAATTCCCCAAGTTGGTGGAGCCCGAAAAACGGAACGGAGACAAACTGAGGCAATTGCGCACCTTGCATTTGTGCGAGGCTCCGGGGGCTTTCATTGCGGCTTTGAACCACCATCTCACGCTTCGGTACCACGTGACTTCGGTGAGTTACTTTTCATGATAAATTGAGTGGGGAGGGTTGGCTCGTAAAGATTTTTCTCTCTTGGAAATGACAAAAACTCCGCATGATGTCGATCATTTTATTTTTCAATTTATTCTATTCATTGTTTTGCCAACTCACGTTTAAACACAGAGGACAATGAAAATTGATGGTCTTCAATCCATTCCTGTGTAAAACTCGGATTTAATTCCCCCCAATAAGCTTTCTGAATTGACGGTTTTTTTGTGTGCCAAATTTGAAAAAGAAGTCAATTGGCGAGAGTAGGAGCCCATCATTGTCTGTAAATATTTTCTTTCATTTTCTCTGTGTGTGCGTGAAATGCGCCGTGTTTATATACTGTTCTATAATCTAGACTCTGCAGTTTTCACCAGCACAAACTGAAAATTTTTGAATAACCTTGAAACATGGAAATTTCCACTTTTTCAAAAGCAAATTCTTGAGATGCATCACATTCTAAAAAAAATTTCACTCTGGGATTTCCCCGCTGGAGTAGCATATAAACGAAGCATTGCCTGCAAGGGGTCACAGTTCATCTGAACACTTCAGGCTGTTCACTTCTATCAGTGATCACACCATTTTTTTAGTTCTGTTCTTACCCTCACCTAGTGGTGATATTTTTCCCGAGTGAGTGGAGTTTTCTTCAAACTTGCTACAAGTTATCCCCTATTGCATAGCTGAACTCGCTAGTTTGTGCTGTAACTTGTCTCCTTTAAATTTTAGAACTTGCCAGTTTATTTGTAAACCCATTGTTATCGGAAGCTTTTGAACCCACGATTGTTCTTTAATGAGTCAATTCCTAATTTTTCGGCTTTACTTTCTTATTTTTCAGCGCGAATTGTTGGTTGTTGTCACTGTATCTTTTATTTCATTTTTTTCTGAATACCGTGTTCTTTGTGTACTTGACATAGGAACATTTGAACCATTACTCTCTAAAATTGTGTTCACGGCCACTTCCTAAATTGAATGCACAACTAGTGAAGACCGGGCTTTAATTCAAGTAAATTTAAAAATTTTGAAAATACCTGTAGAGGTTTTATCATGTCTATTGATACCCCTTTTATTCAAGAATTCTTAAAAACAGGGCATGGAAAAATGAATAAGGACTAAAAAAGCGCTATGATTTTGGTTCGGAGAAAAGTAATTTATCTTGGTGGAAATCAAGCGAAGTTAATTGATTAGGTAATTCCATTGATCTTCTTTTTCAATTGTTGTTGCCGTGTTGAATTATCCAAAGATGGAAGCCTGTGAACCAACCCTTGTGCATGTTCTTCATTCCCTTTTTTTTTCATGTGCTGTTGACCGTTTATTTTGATGATAGGACGCGTCTGAGGAAACAGGCTGGGTTGACGTCGACGATATTCCTGATAATTTGGCAGGAAATAATGAAGATGCCTTTTCTTATTCAGTCAGCGATGAAGAAGATCCGAATCATCCAACATGTGAGTGTGAATTCATTTTTCAATTTTCTTTTGCCGTCCTTGAAAAAATAAAATAAAGCTCGGTAGTTACGCTGCTGGGCGGGAAGTCTAAAACAAGAATCGTTTCTTCAAAATATATTTCAAGCGAAATTAATGTATGACCTCTTTTTTCGCACTAGTTTCATGTTTGGGAGAATTTCGGGATGAAAGTGCCGAGAGTGAGGATAGAAAGCGGTTTCCTGATCTAGAAGATGTTCAGATTTTCTGTGACGACCTAGAATGGAAGTGGCTTGCGAACACGTTGAATCCCTACCACGAAGAGTTGTCGAGTAATTCAACCATTCACGCCGACGAGCTGATTTGCCGAACTTTGCCGCATTGGCTTTTTGGCCCCGGGGGATCTGGAAACCTGATGGATAGTCGCGTCAGTTGCGATATTCGTTCGAGATGTCGTGCGGTTGCGGATTTGGTGAGAATTCTTTGCAACAAATACAAAATGTCATGTCGACACTAGTTTATAGTCAAATTTAATATTGATTATAATATTTTAATCAATTTTAATTTTTGCGGTATTCGTTCAATAGTTTTACTTGGGATGGAAATTCATGTAAATCCCCTTTGATCGACACGAAAAAAAATATTTTTGCGACCGAAGAAGAGGGGAGGAAATGTCTGAAGATTAAGAGGCTGATTTTCATTTTGAACATCTTTCTGTTATGAGGAATAGAGCCAGGTGACGCCACAAATCTGACCTGGCCAAAAACTAACCCATTTGATCTGAAGTATTGAACCTAATTTAATTTATGTACTGTACAGTACAGTACAGTATATCCTAAAATAAAACCAACTTGGAATTGACAAAATGTCTATTACTGTAGTTGAGATTAAATCGCATAGCTATGATTTTTGGTTTTCGACTGGAAAGAGCTAAGACAGAAGTAGACCTACAGTATTTTTTGTTAAATCGTTTGCATGCAAAATTCGGCATTTTTTGCAGTACAGTATATTTTATTCTTTGTTTTGACTCCTGTCTTAATACATTTTCGCATCATGAATTTCAGGTGACGGGCGATGGCGGGATAGATTGCGCAGCGAATCCAGGAGAACAAGAGCTTCTTGTGAGTGATCTGGTGCATTGCGAAGTCATGACTGCTCTTGTGACGTTGAAGCCGGGAGGAAACTTCGTCCTCAAGATTTTCACAGTGTTCGAAGCGCAGACTGTGGCTTTGCTGTACTTTCTAGCTCTGGCCTTTGACAAAGTGATCGTTCACAAGCCGGTGTCAAGCAAACCCGGAAATTCTGAGTTGTACGTGCTTTGCTTTGGATTCGGTGGCCTGGAGAACCAATCCGGAGTGGAACGCATGATTCAGTATTGGGGTAAGCTTTTTGTTGACGTATTGTCGAAATACGTGATTGAAGAAACGTGTTCTGTGTTATTTTAACGTGGGTTGTTTGAAAATTTTATGTACTGTACTGTACAAGTGAAGTTTGAGAGAATTGCTTGGTGCGAAATAATTTAAAATTTTTCAACGTTTTGTATAAATATCCCCAGTAACCGGATTAGCTCGTGCGTGGCATTGTAATAATTCCCATGCTACTGTAGTAAGTGAAAAAGTCAGAAGCAGATTAAACTTTCGAATGGCTCTCTGTCGTATCTTATTGTCGCAGCCAGTGACATCTACCCTTGTTTGTAACTTTAAAAATGTAGCATCAAAGTAAGTGACTCATTTCTCATTTTTTTTTTTTTTTTTTTTTTTTTTTCGAAAATGTTCCTTCAAATTTTTTCTTCATTTTCAGATTGGATGCGTGCGAACGAGTTACAATGTGGTTACTCGATGCCGCCCTTGTTTAAGCGAGAGGAAATACCCGAGGCTTTCATTGACGAAGTGATCCAGATGATGGATTACTTTTGCACACTGCAGTCTGATACAATCGAGGACAATTTGCTGGATGGCATGTTTGAGTCATCCGCTCGACGTTTTTCTACCAATGTGAGAGATGCAGTTGCTTCGCGTTACCTGGACATCTGCTCTCTTGCCCCGATTCCGAGGGAAAAATACCTGGTTGGGCCCAGAGTCCTGGTGAGTCGACTTTTCATACTTCGGTGCTGTGGGAATAAAACAAAAACATTTTTTTCGGTAATGCGAAGTTGATTTATTTGCGAAAATCAGCATCTTCACGCTTTTCCAATGCATTTAGTCGCCTTCCTAATGCCAACGTTGCCTAAGTTTATGACTACATATTTTATTGAGAACATCGACCACGGGAAAAAATATTCAACTTGCTTTCGAAGCTATGTACGATTTTCAACTTCGATTCTTCCAGTTTTAATTTTATTCTAAAAGTTTAGAACATGTTTAAAATTATTAAAAAGGCGAATGTTGAATTTGTACTTTCAATTTCGGAATGCTCGCTACCATCAATGCGTAATTTCTGCATGATTAAGCGAAAAAGTGATTCCCAATCGGCAAGCTGCTGTTGTTTTTGGGTGTCCCTTTGAGATGCTATTTTGAGAAAGTGACGGTTTCTGCTCGCTTCAACACCATTTATTGATTGTATCCCACCTTGTTTGCGATTCATTTTCAGGCGGAACACAATGGACCAAGGACAGGATTTGGGGGAAGGGACCCGGTTTCACGGGGTAGAAGTTATGCGGAGCGCTCGAAGCAACGTGATCTTGTCCACATGTTGAAAAGAACAAAGCCCGAGACTAAAGATTTGAAATTCTTGGAAACCTTGGAGGAAGCTAGTGTTGAACTTTTGAGAGATCTGATGCTGGAGCAACGAGCCCCGGGAACAATCAAAAATGTATTATCTGAAATCACCAACAAGCCGCACTGGGGAGGGACTGAAAATTGTTTTTCGTTTTTATCTTGCAGAATGATCCTGATCTCTCTGAAGAACTTTCCTTGAAAGTAAGTTGGTCAATGAATTATTTCAACAGTCCTTGCTTTAAATCATTGCTGCGGCCAAGAGCCACCACATTGCAGATGTGGAGAATCCTTGCGGGCCACGGTGATCGTAATTTTTTTGAGGTTCCATAGTTGCTCCTTTTTAAATGCGTGCAATCAATAGAAAATCCTCATCAGATGTTTGAAGTATCCATCAAACATTTTCATCTTTCAACGTACTGTATATTTTTAATAGTGGCCTTGAAAATGGTAAGAAAGGGACTGCGGAAGTTTTTTTTTTTAATTGCCAGATTTAATGCTCCAGGAATGGGGCGTTCTTGCTGAACTTGCAAAGGTTTTTTGAGAAACCCTCCTACATGCAAGTATGTATGTAAAGAGAATGACAAATAGCTGGCATTTTTTAGTGTGATTGGACCTACGCGAGACTGCGCAGAAAGGTGAAAGTCGAGATGGGAACACCGGTGAACAAAATCCTGTCTTCGCCGTACTTTCCGTCGTCTTACCTGGATCATTTTTACGAGCTTTATGACCTTCTGGATCTCGTGAGTGATATGTCGGAACTTCCCGACACGGTGGTCAACTTGAACGGGTGGCCGTCGGACATTCAGGAAGCTTTCAGCGTGCCGCCTGTCAAAAATGAAAACCGGGTTGCTGATTTATCTGCAATCTTTCGTAGTGGAGGTGGGAAGATTTATTTATTTTTTTCTTATTCAAAGTCGTCTTGAAAAACTTTAGCGTTCCAAATTATTCTGGACGGGAATCGTGTGATGAGTACAACACAATTTTCATGACGTGAACAATTCTTTATTTAAAAAAAATAATAGCTGCGTAAAGCAGGAAATAAATAGACATTGACCAAAATAAGGTGTGACGGATTTTCCATGAGTTTAATGAAGTTTCTTATGGTTCTGTAACAATGCCAGGAAAAACCCGAGGACATTTTTTGATGATTCGGAGTAATATTCATCAGTTTAGAAGTAAATTTGTAAAATGATGGACAAAGTATGTTGTTGATTCTGAGTTTTGCGCTGCAAATTCACGCTCAATTTTTCCTGATTTTGAAACAGTATTTTGAAGTCAGTGAAGTTTAAATCGAAATTTGCATAGAAAATTTTGATCTTTCGAGCAGGTCACCCATCCGTGGATGATTTCCAGATGGTGGGCAGAGAATTGAGAGTTGCTGAAGAATCTGTTGTTTTCGTGAACGTTATGAACTTGGGTTCGAGTCCAGGATATCAAATCTACCAGCATCCGAATGCCGACGCCGCAACCCAGTCATCTCGAACTCCTTGTGGTAAGAGACGATGTTCATTTATATCTGTTCACGTCGGATTTTATTGGGTAAAATATGCATTTTGCTGATGATATTGTTTGATCACGATATTATTAATTATTTTGTTGTTGCAGTGATTCGACCACCCATGCCGTTGTCTTTCCAAGTTGACCGTTTTAAGAAATCAGTTCAAGATGCTACTTCTTTCAATTTGAGTGATCCACATGTTTTCTTGCGGGCTTTCCGCTCCTGGCTCCAAAACCAGTGAGTTTTGTTGTTGCTTATTTTGAGAAAGGGAAACTCGACCTGTTTCTCCATTCTTAATTTAGCATGGTTTCGAAATGTTTGTTTCGATGTCACCAGCAGTCATTTTAGTCGAGGGGATTTTACGTCAACGTTTCTCTTGTATGAGTTGAAGCATTGCCCCAGTTGCACAATAGAGTTCATCGGGTTTTGAATGAATACGCACCAGTTCTGTTCTGCCTTAGATCCTATCTAATAAATTCATCACCGTCCTTGTAAAACAGTTTCATAGAAAATTCGAAACGCTGTGACAAGTGATGACTTTTTTCGCAACGCACTAACCTTTTGAGGCATCGAGTACATGTTTTGAATGAATGACACTTCCTACAGCCCGATGATTCATCCCCCTTCCGATGTCCTTTTGCGATCACTCTTGGGTGAATTTGAAATCCAGCGGCTGACCGAGGGACGCGAACAGGAGCCTGGGTGCGTGGTTTAGATTCGGTCGAAGGTTACGTAGATTTCCGTCGATGCTAATTTCTATCGCATTTTCAGATGCTCTGAAAATAATCGAATCGAAACTTTGCTAGACAGCGTTTTCGGATTCGTCATGCATGTGACGATGAAACCGCATCTTTTCAGCTCGTTTCCGAGCGTGGATGATTTCGACATCGGTGAATTCCCTGGTGAGCTTTGATTCTTGCGACGGACATCGCAGTTGTTTTGATTTGTTCTTATTGCAGAAGTGTGTCCGTCGTTGAAAAGAAAGATTGTGGCTGCCATTCTTCTGCTTTTCGACGTCGTTTTCGGTTGCATTCCCGACGAACCCGTGCTTTTCCTCTCCGACAAGCAAATCCTGCTGGGTAAGAAAGCGACATCTACCTGATGACAACAGCGACGCGTTGCGTACAGTATTGTACTAGAGTAGGGGAGGGGGAGGTCAGACGTGTAGGAGGGAGAAAGCCGCCGAGTTATTCCTTAATTTTTTTTTCGCGTGTAAATGAATTCGATATGTTATGTATATTGCAGATTTGGTGCCGGAAATGTCGATGGTTGAAGAAGGGGACGCGTGCGGATTCCAGAGGCTGTTGACAGACAAGATAATCGATTGCTTGGGAGGGGCGTGTCTGAAGAAGCAGACGGTGCTCGTGTTTCGCGGCATGCACATGCTGACGAGGTTCAGCGTGTCGGTTTTCCTGTTATTGTCAACTCTCTTCCACGAGTGTTCTGTTGTAAGTACGGAGGATTGGTTTCCATCAATGGAAAGTGTTTTTCTTTACGCCTTCATCGTGAAAATCTTTTATTGTTGCATGAAAATGTTTTGGAACTTCATTTCAATCCTGAAAGTTGACCATCGACATCACGGATTGTCATGAACGTATTTCAGTTTAGGGCAGAGTCATCTCATCAGCGTTCTAGGTTTGCCGGATTTTCGTGAGGAATTCTTTTATCCGGCAATTTATGATTTTGAAAGTACCTAGCTCGAATTTTTTTCTTCTATACAAAGGAAGCAAATTTATTTTGGCATTCTCTACCTTCAACTTAAGCATGTGCTTGTTGCCCCGGTTATGTGAAGCAGACCAATCTGCTGTACAGCATATTATGTTAAACGTTAAATCAAGTACGCTTGCTGCGAAAAATGTTTTTGGCTTTGGTCGAATTTTAGGTATTGAGATACTTTACCAGTACCGTGCTGTCTTTACTTGAGTATATGCGCACCGTTTTTCTCAAATTCCAAAAGAGAAAAGGGGGTGGGGGCGTCATGAGTAGGTTTAAAATTTTCAAAAACTTTCAGAAATTTAGGTGATTGTTATACTTGATTTTAGTGGAAAAATTAGGAGCACGTTTGATAGGAAAACTTATTTTAATGGAAAAAATTGAAAATTAGTAGAATTTGGGTTGAAATCATGTATGAATTCAAATTTGGATGCTATTTTTTTCTCAATATTCTGGTTTTTGTGTCTTTTTGAAATGAGGTTCGCGTCTCACTTGAGGGTACGTCGTACTCCAGTAAATACGGGGAATTTATTTTAGTGGAAGTCGATGCAGTGCTTTTTTCAGTACTATATTTTTTCATTTATTTTTTGTTCCTTTCCAGAGGGCGAGTGATGAGTGCCCTGAACTGGTTCTAAGAGGATTCGTCGGACAAATGGAGGATGTAACGGATTTCCTCGAGCTTGTTTCGACGGCATCCAAATCATACTCCAGCTGTGGGTCGACGGAAGACGACGTCGCGTTGAGTTTGTTCGACTGCGGACCGACGTCGCCGATTTTGCGATCAAGGAAGCTCAACGATTTCGCGTCTCTCGTCAACGCTTGGTATCTTCAGTATCGTATCGGCGCCTTGCTGACCAACTATTCATTTCGCGGCCCAAGATCACACGACTTCAAAGAAACGTATTTTTGAACCGGATCCGGAAGTGCGGGATTCGCGGGGAATGTTGTTGCATGGTAATCCTCCAACCGCACTTTTCGCGGTTTTTTGCTGACGAAGTTCTCCTAAGCCGAATGACGCGTTCAGTTTGAACATCAGCTTTTCATTCCTTGAAACATTCCTTGAATTTTTTTTGAATCATCCAGTATCAATTTTTAGATCTGATTCCGCAATTTTGCCTTTTTTTTTTTTTTTTTTTTTTTTTTTTTTTTTTTTTTGGTTTTACAGAAAGGGAAAGAGGGTTTTGAGTGTGTTAGTGTTCGATGTTTTTTTTTAAACTGTGTTCTGCTCATTTGTCAATGTGGAAAGTAAAAGCGAAAAAATTGTTTCGCATGTACGGAATTATAAAAATAAATTTGTTCGTGATTCAGAAGAAGGTGCTTGTAAGACTCAATGGCGTCTTGGATTCGCGCGAAAAAGGCCGAGGGGTAATCCAAAAATATTATTCCATTCAGATGGTGAATACAGTCTTATTTCATTGATGAAACGATCATTTTACAATTGCGGGTACGTCGGAGCATTATCCAAACTAAAGACGGAAAATCGACGATTCAAGATACAAATGTGAAATTGTATGGGGCACGCCTCTCCCTTTTAATTTTCTGTCATGATGAAATTCTTGTCCTAGTGTGCTTGGTGAATTTCAATGGAAAATAAATGTTGGCATTGTTATGCGTTGTTCTTGGAAAAAATGTAATTTACGACGTGATTCATGTTTTGGTCCACCTGGTGCAATTGATTTCCTGGAATTTTTTATGAAGTGCTTCGTAGATTTTCTCAGAATTCTTCATTTTTTCAGATGCTAAGATAATGAGGTTTCCCCTAGAGTTAATAGTACTATATTTTCGTAGATATGGGTAAAGAAGTGTAGTGTAGAATTTGTTGCACTCGATTTGCGCTATATTACAATTTCCACGGAATCATTTTCTAATGTTGGGCTTTGCAGGACTGAAATGCCCGAAAATGTGAGTGATTCGAAAAAAATTGCGAGGGTTCAAATCTGTGCGACGCTGTTGAAGTTGATTGTTGGTGCCATGAGACGACGTCAAGTTTTGCTTCTTGCGGAATCAACGTAAGATTTTTTGAAAAAAGGAAAACTCTAATATCGGTTTTCAACGATTTCTGACATCATTACAGGCGCCTGATCAGGAGTCGATCGCAGCATGGGTTGAACCCCGGTGACCTCAAGATGTCGATATCCCGCAAAGCGTATTGCAATAGGATCAAATTGGAAAGACAGCTTTTGTTGATTTTGGAAGCGATCTCTGAAGAAAAGTCGTGATTCTATTTTTATGTGTTCGTGGAAAAGAAACAATATTTTAAACTTTTTTTTTCGATTCAATTTTGGTTGATCGGTCTTTTTGGGGTTCATTATCTCATTTACAGGGTAAATGAGACGAAGTAGTGGATCTTTTTTCTCACACTGACATTGCCTGAATGATGAAATCTACCGCCTTGAAGAAAGTTGCACCTGAAGTGCTTGCAGATCATATTTTTGTATGACGATAGATTTCATATCTCTGTCTGCTTTGGTGTGTTCATCGAGGTCACCCGTAAAAACCTACCCATTGGAAATAGCCATTGGAGGAAAGAACAATTGCTTTAAAAAAAAGAGCAAAGCGATTTTGCGAAGTGAGTACTGTATGAGAAACACATTCCGAACGAGGGTATTTTGAAAATAACCCGAATTTATGTGATTCAGAGAATTGGACGATTTGTGCAGCACATATTTCGTGGTGTTTATTTTCAATTACTGTCCTGTACCTATAATTGGTATGTCACATCAAGTACAATTAAGTTTAGTCGATTACATTTGAGGATAGTTTTTTTTTATCTGGTAGCGTCAACTATTCAGGAGATGTCATTGCGTAAAAATTTTATTTTGATCCACCATATACAGGAATTGGTTATCTTTCCAGAATGTTGTGGGCTTTGGCTTTCTTGGTGGTGAAATTTGCTGTTGCTGAAGAGGAATGTATGCGTGAGTGTTGCCAATGTTCTTGCATGGAAACGAGTATAGAAGTGTCCCAATCTTTTGTAGAGCGGAAATCCTCGCGAGAGCGGTACTCACTTTCAGCAGTACTCACGTTCTGTCAGAATTGCGTTTTAAATGTGGCGGAATTGTGTTTGATCGGGATGAATGTCTTTCTTTTCGACTTGCATGTCTCAGTGAAGAAGATTCAGTGCTACGTTTGCGATTCGATGTATGATCCTCGATGCTTGGATCCCTTCAACTTCACGACAGCGCCGCCGATTGAAGATTGTCATGGCTGTTGCGTCAAGCTCGTCACGAATATTGGCTCAGGTATACATCGCAATAAATATTTTTTGATAAATTTGTTTTCTGCTCGAAATTCTTTTACTCGATTATTTATTTATTACTTTTCTTTTGCTGAAACTCTGTCTTCTCAGATGTGTATGTGATCCGGAGACTGTGCACCAAGCGTCTTTCAATCAACCTCTTCATGGTCGATCACGTCTGCATGCGGGAAGGCGACAGAACGGGGCGCATGTGTTTCTGTGAAGACGACTTGTGCAACAAGGCCGTAGGCAACTTCTCTTTGATGCACTGGTGCACATGTGCTTTGTTTGCTGCGATAGTGTTCCTCTTTTCCGGGTTTGGTATCCCATGTTACAGTTTGACTGCGGGTTAGGGACAACAACAGATAAAAAAGAAGCGCGGGTTGCGCTTCTCTTTTTAGCATCGTTCAAAACTAATGCCAAATTCGATCAGGTGTCAGAGCAAAGAACTGAATCGTGTTCAACTAGCTTGTTGTGATGCTCTTTGGTTTTCTATGTTTGTAACTCAATAAGGTGAACACCTGGGAAACTGAGTTATAGATTTTTTGAACCCCCCCAAAAAAAAGAGGGGAGGGGGAAAAACTCGTTCTAGTCCCTGCAAACCAAAAAGCTGCCTCTTTCTTCTCTGTTACACTGCTGAACAGGAAGACATTGGGTGTTGTGTAAATCCATGTAGGCATGGGGCCCTGAGATGCGGAAATAATTGGTGCTTGGAATTTGTCCCTATGTTGGATCATTTGTATGTCAGATCATTTTTTCCTTTAGACTTGAACTGAAATATGTTTATTCATATTCCTGGTAATCAAAAATTAGGAAAAGATCCTTCAAGAAATTGAAATTTTGTTTCCAATTTCAAGATGCAAAAAAGATGTGCAGAAAAAATATCCTGCACAGAATCTGACCTTTGGCATCAAAAGAAGCGTAAATAGTGAAGAAAAAGCGCAACAATTTTCTGGTGATGTGCATAAATGATGCACCAACTCCAAAAAATGAAGCCAAAATTAGCCTGAATGAATTACAGTAATAGTGAATTTACTGTATGATATATTTAATTTTGTGAATATGATAAGCTCAAATTTTTTCAAAAGATATTGACATTTTGAGGAATTAAATTTTTCCATCGGTCTAGAAATTAAGTGTCCCTATTTTAAACATTGTCTGGATGTTGAGGCAGATCATGTGAGTTTCCTGTGTCTCAAGGTCGAATTTTCTGGATGTTGGGGCCCTATCATGCAGTAGGCCTTGAATGAGTCCAAAATATGCATCCCTTTTTGGTGCAATAAACTTTTGCAAATGGCAAATTCCTTGTGGAGGATTTGCTTTTTTGTGGAAGAACTAATTTTTGCATCTGGTACCTCTGAAGCAATTTCATCAGTGGTTGTGTTGCAACATCAACAGTGTATTGTGCCGTGTTCATTGTTCATATGAGTATTGGTTGATTTAATAAAAATGATCATTGTATTCTGTCCGCAATTTTAATTATATTGCAACTTCTTGAGGAAGGGTACCAAAGTTGCTGGTGAGTCTGGGCTCATTTTGGTGTCAAGGCCAGCTGACTCGAAAATTATCAAGCTGCTCTGGATGGTAGTTCTTGGATCAGACGTACCCAAAGTACTTCTTTATTAATGGCGTCTTCGATTCTCTATGGCTACGCTCCAAAAGCATTGCAAAACTTGCGGTAAGAGAGTGGTTCGGTATGCGCTAGTGTTGTACCTACCGTACTGTCTTGGGGGCGAGTAAGCGGACAGATTGGGCAATGTCGTGACGTAAGGGACGTTGTGGGATTTTTCTAGAAATTTAATAAGCAAAATCACAAACGCGTGTTATTGATCGGTTGTGACGCTCGTCGAAGAGTAACCTTGTCAGTCCACGAGTCAATTTTATGAAAATACTTGGACGAAGTGCACTCTGTAAAAAATCTCACTGTGCCCGGGTTGCGGTCATCTCCGGTGATTCCGTTTTACTTGATTTTATCGTCATTTTCTGGGAAGTTATTTCATTGTTTATCGAAAATTTCGTCGGGATGATCATAGCGTATGGAAGGCGTGGTCCCGTGAATTTCGTTGTTCGCTGCTCACGCGTACGTGTCTCTCATATTGAAGTGATTTTGCGTGTTCACTTGCAGGGATTGAGATTTAAATGCTTTCTTCGATCGTTTTGGTGACTCAAGAGCAAGCCATGTACATCTTGATACCTAGGTTTGTAAATTATTCAGTATACGCGCTTTGAACAGTGTTATTCAGTATGATTTTTCGTTGATAGAATGTGGATGATCAAGAAACTGCGTCGACGGAGGTGAATGTTAAGAGAGAGAGAGAGCTTTGATACTCGCACTTCCATCTGAACCTCGTCGATTTGCCAAGTGTCTTGAAGAATGGATGACCATGAGTGCTCGTTCGATCAATCGCTGAGTATGGTGAAGGCGTCTGAATTGTTTCCAGCGAAAGAGAAATATGATCGGGACTCGCCGGATCTGGCGTTGCCGTTCGAACCGCTCTTCGGGGAATTCCCGGAATATCTGGGGCAAGCCGAAGAAGGTGTCTTGGCAATATCAAACGTTCGTTTGTTTCTGAAAGCTGCCGCGGGTCCCAATTTGAACATTCCGATTGGATTGATCGATAGTGCCGAAGTGCGAGAGATCTTTTTCCTGTTTGTTTTGTGCAAGGATGCTAGAACAGTGAGGTAAGCCGATTTTAAGCTCTTCCGAATGCATCATTCATATAAAGTACAGCACTGTATATACATTTTTTAACGTTTTCTTGAATTTCACAGGCTGACGTTTCGAACGAGTGACATTTGCCAATTGTGGTTACGCCGTTTATGCCACATAATGACGCTGCCAACGAAGAAGGAAGATGTTTTTGCGTACTGGTTCCACGCTTATTGTTCGGAAGAGTCAAAGGATAGGCTCCACGCCATTCTATCCGCCCCGAACCATTTGAACGTTCCTGGTGCTTTCAAACCGGATGTTTTTGAAAGTACGCGGGAACTCGAAGACTTGCCTGTCGCTTCATGTCCAAGCTTGCATTCATCGAATTACAAGGATGTCCTGGATTTCGAAATCCGCCGGATGGGAATTGATTCGTGCAGTTCGTGGCGAATAAGCAGCGCGAATGTCGATTTTTCACTCTGTTCTACGTATCCTCCGTATCTTCTCATCCCTGCTTGCATCAGCGACGAAACTTTGCGAAGAGTCGCTGGATACCGAACTTGTGGTCGTGTTCCGACAATCGTGTGGCGGTAAGAAATTTCTTTCATTTCCGTTGTTTTTTAGCCGAATTCTAGTATAGTTACTATACTGAACCATACTTTACGTGTTATTAAAATTAGATGTAACTCATATAATTTCTGCGTGTTATTTCAACATACGTATTGGGATGACTCTCTACACTAACTTACATTAACGATGGAAGAGTGGGCCACTTGTTATCGACTAGGTTGGCGAATAGAAGGATGTCAGAGATATTTCTCACATTGATGTATTTATTTTGGTTTTTCAGGCATAGTGGAAATGGAGCTGTGATTGCGCGATGCAGCCAGCCGCAAATCGGCATTCTTGGATGGCGATGCAGCGAAGACGAGGATTTGCTGAAAGCACTCGGGGATGCGTGTGGCTGGGATCCGGGTCCGCATCCGATTTTGCCTCGCAGTCGTCTGAATTCTTTGTGCAGTGATGATATGATATCGAGCAAAATTCGCGTCGACGACTGCGACACCTCGTCCGCTGACGAAGAAAACCTGGAATTCGATAATGAACGACTCAAACGACAGCAGAGTCGTCGTCGCCGTCGGTCCTCCCAAGGCAGAAGCCAGACTTTATCCGGCGGCTCGGAGGCAGAAATGGTTAGCGGAAGCATTCCTGTCCCCGGAGCGGAAGTTTGTTTGGGGGAAAGTCACAGTAGCCCCTCTTCTTTCAAGGACTTGACTGGGGAAAGTCGAACGCATCGTGAATCGGCAAGTCCATATTTTAATGTGTATCTTTGTAATATTTCTCTGCTCTACGTTTCGACACTCAACCGTGTTTTTTATTTTATTTATTTTTTATACAAATTTCTGGCATGTGTAGTCTGAATCCCCGATTCAAAAAACCTCGACGCAAGATGTGCAGTTTTTATGCAATTTCGAGCCGAACTCCGAATGAAAGCGTATTGTAAATCTTAATTTGTTTTACATAAATGACGTGGCGCAACACATTTTTTCTAATGAATGAATAAGAAACTTCGCCTGTTTAATCTTATCCTTCGAAAGAAAATGAAAACATCACTCTGATGATCTTTTTATTAATCCACTGCATTAATTCTAATCCAGGAGTGACGCACCCGGTACAAAATTAGAACTTACAAGACTCACAAAATGTAAGAAAACGAATTACGGTTCGATTGAAAGTTGAAAATTCCTGTTTTTAGCATGCGTATTTTAATATATATTTATATATGTTTTTATTCATGTGAAAAATTTGAACAGATTTCTTGATTTTCCTGCTTTTGCGTGGTCATTTATTGTACTGTATAAAGAAAACTCTGGTAGCGATTCTTGCGGAACTTTATTTTGGAGCATTTAATAGCGAGTTAATGACCGATACACGGAGTGAAAATGAAAGCATTTAATTTTTTTTAAAAGAAAAATAAGTGCAGTACTCCGCCGGAATTTTTTCACAATTTTCAACTAAAAGTTTGAATTCTAGCGTCAAGGTGTAAGCAAAATCGCGGAGTTGAGGACGTTGAACTGCGCTGTGCCGACCTTGCTGACAATTTGTTGCGTTTTCTCTTGCAGCGGGTACTCATTATCGATGCGCGGTCATTTTCGGCGGCCATGGTGAATCGGGGAAGAGGCGGCGGCTACGAGTGCCCCGAGTATTACCACAACTGTGATATTCAGTTCATGAACCTTGCCAACATCCACGGGATCCGCAAGAGTTTCCAGGCCCTGCGCCAGCTGAGCTACTCGTCGTCGCAGGACCAGGTGATCTGGCTCGGCTGGCTAGAGGCGAGCAAGTGGATGACGCATTTGAGCACTCTGATGCGGTCCGCCGTCGGGATCGTGCGTGCCGTCGCGAGCGAGGGACGTCCCGTCGTCATCCACTGCTCGGACGGCTGGGACCGGACACCGCAGTTGTCGTCGCTGGCCGAGCTGCTCATGGATCCGTTTTACCGGCGCATCGACGGGTTCCGCGTGCTCGTGGAGCGCGAGTGGCTCGCGTTTGGCCACAAGTTCGGGGACCGCTGCGGCCAGGGCGTCAACGGGCTCAACGATCCCAACGAGCGTTGTCCGATTTTCCTCCAGTGGCTGGATTGTGTTTTTCAGTTGACGCATCAGTTCCCGACTGCGTTCCAGTTTACGGCGGAATTTTTGGTGAGTCCATGGTCTTTTTTTTTTTTTTTTTTTTTTCTCGACGGGACATACAGTATTTTGAACGATTGAAATGTGAATGACGACTTTAGTTTTTTTGCTGCTGCTGAAATTGTCTTGAAGAGGGGTTGACTGCTTAAATTTTTTCGTGTGTTTTCAATCCAATAATGTTTTCCTATTTTTCTTCAGCGCCAGATTTCGCTTTTTGAAACGTTTTGTAGGTGTCGTTGAGGTCTCGAAACTCTCTAAAATTAAAATGAACTCTACTCGACCGACATTCGACCTAAAAGAAAAGAAATGTGAAGGAGTTCAAGCGACATCTATTCAATTTTGCGGAGAGAAAGGGAGGCACGGAAATCCGAAAAAAAAATTCGTTTACAGGAAAAAATGAAGAAAGTGATTAGAACTTCGAAGGGAAAAAGTGAAAAAATCAGGCGCTTTGGGTTTAAATTTCCGCAAGAGTAAAATTTTGTGAGGAATGTTTTGCGACGTGTTTATGAATTGCACTGATGCTAAAGGCTTTTTTATATTTTCAGGAATCACTGGTGCAACACGTGTACTCGAATGTCTTCGGCACGTTTTTATTTAACTCGCTGTTGGAGAGACAACAGAATAGTGTTTCAGAGCAAACATATTCGCTGTGGTCTTACCTGCAACCAACGCACGACTCGAACCGTTTTTTGAACGTTCTTTACGAGCCGAACCAGCATCAGGTAAGGAAGGATTCCTGAAGCGCATTCAAAGATAATCAGCAGAGAAAAAAATTGAATTTCCTCATCGTAGCGAAATTTCATAAAGTTGAAATATTGCGATTATCTTATGGAACACAATTTACAGTACTGTATATATTTTTCATTTCTCTGTCGTATTCCTGGTAGTCTTTGGATTGACTGTCAAATCAAGTAAAGTCTGCCTTTTTACTAGCGTTCTTTATTGTTTCCCATTTCTGTTGGAGCTTTGAATGGGGACAAATTGGAGAGTACTCAGGAATTCATGAAGTACTGACTGATTTTAATTTGAAACGAAAAAAGTGCCACCAATCATTGTCAGAAGTTACTGAGAAAAATATAATCTAAGCCTTTCGCTTGATTTTGACGTGACTGTAAATCTGTAATCAACGTGGCATCGTGGTCATTATCAACATATTATATGCGCTGGACACATTGATATTCAGGAATAACGCGTTTCATAAATTTTTTTTCAATAAGCGGGAAGATATAACACGAGTTACTTTTTGTTTTCTTCCCCTTTTTCATAGACGTTGTACCCGAGCTGGAATGTGCGGGATTTCCTGGTGTGGTCCGTGTACCTGCCGGGCCGAGACCATCCGCCGCCGCCGTCATTTCCACTGTGCAACGGCCCCACGCTGGACATCCCGTTTCAAGGAAACCGGGCCACTCCGGACCAGGGTTCTTTGTACGAAGAACCCGAGGCGGAACCGGAACCCGGATCGCGTCAGCTGGTCATTGAATTCCCCGCAACCGGCGAAGAGGAAGACGACGAAAGAGCGACGGATGCGGTGAAGAACATCAAGAACAACGATGATGATGACGACGACGACGATGATGATGATGATGATGATGTCGTGGAAGAAGAAGAAGAGGACGATGATTGCGATCGGGAGGACTTGAAAACAGTGTTGTTGACGTCCCCGCAACAACAGCAGCATCAGCTGTCGTTGTCGATGACTGTGGTGCCGTCGCCGTTGGCGGCGACGGCTGTGGAGCGGGTAACGACCCGCACTTGCCCGTTGTGCTTTCCGCGCGAGCCGGAGGAATCCGTGGACGAGTCTGTGTTGAAAGTGCTCAATTTCGTCGACCGCGGGAAGACTGACCCGGACAATCAGCGCGAGTTGAGATACCGAACCCTGCTTGACAGGTACGTGAAGCAAATCGATGCCCTGCGTGCCGATCTACACTTGACGAGGCTCCAACTGCTCAATTTGAACAAATCCAATGCCGCGAATGGGAACGCCGATGAAGCTGGGGTAAGAGCTGGCTGGTCTCCTCTATGTGTGTATGTTTTTCAAGTGAGCCAATCGGATTCCTGGGCAATTTTTTTTTTCAAATTTGCGTCAGAAATTCTCTATAGAGGTCCAGATTTGTGAAAAAAGGTATAATTAATCCGACGAAGAGTTTCCGTTCTTTGTTGACGGATTAAAATGCTGTACTGTACTTTATTCAATTTTATGAGGCCATGAGTTGAAAAAATCATTAAATCGTGATGTCTGCATGGGTGAAGGATATAAGTCAAATTCATTCCGAAAACGTTCACTGGCCGACCTTATTGGAATTTTATGCTTTCTTCTTCTGACAAAGAAATGCTCTCGACAGATTCTTGAAAAGGCCATTGGATTTATCCCGTTGATCAGAAATGACTTGTGCTTAAAAGGTAACCAAAATTCGGTTACCTGTTTGTAACCCTTAGCTTAGATGTTCCTGCTCCGCCCAGTATAAGTTTTTGTCGGTAGATGTCACTGGAAAGTCCAACATTACATCTCTCATCTTGAACCTAGCGAAATGTTAAAAAGAAAAAAAAATATAACGATAACGATAACAATTCAGGCGACGCGTATGTAATTAAAAAAAAACCGGAAGAATAGTGGATCTTTTGCGTTCACGTTGAAAGTAACTTAATATAACCGATGGGAATGTTTATAAGTGTCAATATTTTTGACCGTTTTCGAATGGGCTGATGTGGTTTACGAATGTTGGCATTGTACGAGGTGATGTTGTGCTCAGTTGAAAATGCTGTTGCGGAGGACTTCGCTCCCCGTGAATCCGTCTTGTACGTTCCATTGGAAGGAGACGTCGATCCGAGCTCGCACGAAGTTTGTCTAACGAAGTTTTTTTTCGGAAGAGAAGGGTTTTCCAGCGATATTAAATTTATTTTTCATCTGCCATGTTTTCAGACGGGTGGCTGTTTAATGAATGGCGGTGGAGGCGACAAGTGTCGAACAGACGTCAATGGTGTCGACGCCGTCGGGAAACGGGTCGACGCTTCGGACGGTCGAAGTCGGAAAAGAGAGCTTGTTTTCGGAGAGTCGAGTTGGCAGTTCGTTTCGGAACTTGGCAACGAACTGGACGAATTCAACCCGGACGACGAGGATGAGGCGGAAGCTGCGGATCGGGTAAATGGTGCGACTACTTCTGCCGTCGCTGCCACGACGGCGAGGGCCGCCGCCGCCACGGGAAAGCGAACTGGAAACGGCAGCTTCGACGTGTCTTCGTCTCGGTACCCCGTGTTCCCTAATGGGGAACCCGGACTGGTGACCCAGCGCTGCTGTGAGGCCAAGAACACAACCCCCGGCTCGGGTTCTCGTCGGTCCTCATTCCGCTCGTCGGCCAACAAAGGTGCTAAAATGGTTCAAGCCGTGCACACCTGAGAAAGGAGGGAAGAAGGATAGGCAACGAAGGAGGAGAAAAAGCGTGGAACCGAACCGTTTTAAGGATTAATCGTTTCCGAAATTTTTGGTTTCTCTTTTTTGTGTTTTCGGATATTTTTTTTTTCACGCGAGTGCGGATGACGGATTGTCGGCGGCATGAACATGTGGAAGGGAAAGGGTATAAATCTGACGTGTAGCTTCTTAGAGGCGCGACTGAAGAAGAATGGGGAAACCGTCCTTGACTTGAGGCGAATTTGACGTGAGCTTTGTGTGTTAACGATTGGCGCGAGGGTTGGTTGAAAAGTTTTGCCATTGCCTTCAAATATTTCAAAGGTTATTTTTGGACACAAGCGTTCCTTCTGTTTAACATCGTTCAAATTCAAAGCAACGTTTTTGTGTATATGTCCATCACTCGAGAGAATGCTGAAACTGGTGATTTTTTGGTAAACGTTTTTTGGGGTACCCGAGCTTTAATCCGTACGTGACGTGTCACATTTGGAAATGATTCTTTACATTTTTTGTTTTTTAATTGTTTGCACCTGGATGGCCCGCAAAATGGGTCTTGAAACTTACGCACGGCAATGGGGTGACTGATCATCTCTCACGTCTTCACTCTATTTGACTTTGGGTGGTTAATTACTGGAAGCCACCATGGTCCGGGTATGATCGAATTTGACTTTATCAGAACTCCTGTCTCTTATCCAAGAATTTCTTCATGACGAGGAGTGTCAGGCTGGCAAAACTTTCGAATCAACTCTTGCGCATGATTTCCGGATGAACGTTTGGCGGGGAGGGTTTTGTTTTCCCGTAAAAACGAATATGCGTTGGAGACGCTCCTGAGAAGATAAATCTCTGACCCATCAGATTGTAGACTTTAATGATTTTCAAATCACTCGTCGAATCATGGTTGAAGTGCTGTTATGAAGTATGATTTCGGATCGTGGTTGATTTTCGGATATCGTTAGATGGATGGAGCTAGTAGTTCGAGATTTTTCCTTGCAACTTCGAAAGCAAAAGAAAAGTGTTTCTCAAGTCAGCGGTTTGTGTTTCAATCAAAGAAGGGATTTGAGTTAAACACTGAACGATGTATGAGGCGATTGCAGCCGCCGCGGGTGATCACGAAAAATGTTGAGGATTATATTTAGTTTGTATTCGTTTCGGGAGCGTGTGATTCTGGTGTATGCTTCATAGTAATATCTAGTCAAGTGCGAACACTATCTTTAAAAAAAAAAAAAGGAGAGTGGGGTTAATCCGCCGACTTCGTCATCGGAACTCAGTCGTTGGTTTTTCATTTCTGGTTCAGGATATTTTCTTCATCGTTTTGTTCCCTCCCTCTTTTTTTTTTTTTTTGAGCTGCCGGTGAGGATGGTTTTGACGAAAGCAATGGGTTTCCACAGACAGGGTGTGACTTTATTTTATTTTGCATTACGAGGAAAGAAGAAATCCGTAGTTTAGCATCAGCCTTATAAATGTGCGCGTACTGTGAGACGTTTCTTGTCGTCATTTTTACCCCCTCCGACTCATGCCCTGTTCCGACTTGCGTTGCATTCCTCGGGTGATGCTGGGAGTGGAACTGTGTCACGAGTTCGCGAGCGGATTTTCAACTCTTCGCCGAGTCGAAGTGGGAAGAATTTATTGAACGGTAAAAATGCATGATTCCCGTGAAACAAGACGCGAATGTGTATGTGTCGGTTTTCCTCTCGTTCAGTGCCTTTTTTTTCATTAAAAAAATATTCTTACGATGTTTTTCTTCCGAAAGATTTTGAAGTATTATAATTTTCTCTCTTTCTCCCCCCGCAGGTGTGAGTGTGTTTATATATACCGTACTGTATAAGGGATTTGAGTGTATGGATTTATTTGCTGTGTGAGTGCTGCGTCTTCAGCGCCATGGTTTCAAACAAAAAAAGAACGGGGCTTCGCGTGATGAGGTTGGTGAGTGAAGCCAGGTTTTCTCCTACATTTTTTCATAGCGTGCAGTATTTGCATTTTTATTGCATTCGCGCGATATTGTTTCTGATTATCGGGGTTGGAAGAGAATTAGAATGCGTCTCTGGTTCGATGCCGGTCTACATTTGCATTCAAGATGCAAGTTTATGCGGTGATCCGAAAAATATGCGTGCATTTAAATGCTGAATTGCATGGGGTTTCATTAAACATCATCCCAGTGCTGTATTGAGAATAAGGTTTCATTGCCTGATGTGAATGGCAAGCAGTAAACCGAGAAGTTTGCAGTGGAAACGTGAGAAAGCTTGGGTATCTTATTTGGTAAGTTCCTTTACTCAAGGTAACAATTGCAATCTTCAATTGAAGTTTTTCATGCTGCGGCGTTGCGTTTTAGCAACTACTGTATTGGCGTTTAATACGTATAATTGGCTCACTTTTTTGGTCCAAGCGCGTGTCGTGTACGAGGATTGTCCCAGTTGGACGCGATCTTCGATAATTTTAGAGGTCCGATTGGAAAAAAAAATCGACAAATCTTGATATAGCCCATGATGCTCCAAGAAACGGGGATTTTTTATGAAAGTTTTTTAATTTTCTGCATGATGATTACTGAAAACTTACCATTCACAGTCGGAGTTCTCCACCCACGTCAGAGGAAGCTAAAAATTTGCTAGGCCAGCTAAAAAAATGGAATTTTTCTCTTTGCTCGGACCATTTTTTTAAATGCAGTAAAAGATCAAGGGTAAAACAACAAAATAATTTCAATTTTTTTTAGCTGGTTTGAAAAATTTTCAAATAGAAATATTTCACTTATCATTCAGTAAATTGAAATTTTTTGAATCCGGAAAAATTCCTGAACTTCAATACAGCATGGAATTGGGATATGTCAAGATTAAAAAAAAAAAAAAACTGCATTACATCTGCTCCAAAAATATCGGAGGTCGCGATTTGTATTTATAGACGTACCGTACTGTACTGTACTGGACGTTGAGGAAAGCGCAAAGTAAGATGGTGAATCAAATTGCGTCTCGGAATTGAAATGTGCAATATGAATGCGGTATTTTATTTATATTTTGACGTTCTTCCTCTGGCTTATTTCTCTCCAGGTTGTGTCGGTGTTGACGTTTGCCGTGGTGCCGAGTTTCAAGAGCTGGCTGACGTTCCACTACCCGTGTGTCGAAGCTCCGGATGAAATTCTATTTCTGCCGGTTCTCTACCCTTTCAAGTCAGTTTTTTTTTTACGAAATCGGTCGAAATGAGCTGAGGTTTGCACTGGGCCTGAGCCTTCGTTTAGGCTGTCGCATCATTCAGAGGAGAGGATGTTGTGCGGACAGGCGTACGTGAGGTATCGTCTGCGCGGTCGGGACTTGTCGGCCGAGTGTCGGTTCTTCGTCGCCGTCGGCGTCATCACGATGCTCTGGTCTCTGGCTTGCATTTTCACCGACGGGCTGGTGTTGAAGAGTCATCGGGAGTCCAAGTCTCACGTGATGACGGTTTGTATTATTATCATTTTTGGGGGTTTTTTTGTTGCACAAGGTGGCCTGTAATGCAAGTATTTTATTTTATTTATTTTTTGGCGGTGTCCGTCAAAACCTTGGTAAGCAGTCACTATTTGTTTGTGGCAATTTAATGGGGGTTGTTGTGGTTTATCGAGAAAAGCCAAAATAATACGAAAATCAAATATGGTAGGAAATAAAATTCTTTTTTTTTTCTTCTAGAAAGCAATCAAAATAACCCTGGGATGCGTAAATCATATCATTTTTGTGTTTGTGTTTTTTATTGTTTCTTATCGGAGACCTCTTACAGAACTTGAATCTTATTGGCGGGCTATCAAAGAAAAAATTGTCAGGGTCATTTTTGATTTGTCGATAATTTTTGCGGATGGCGTTTTTAAGGGGTTTCCAATGCTATTATCCTTGGGAAAGATTTATTTTTCAAAATTAATTGGCGGTTGCCGAATGACGGATTTTGTTGGGGGGGGGGGCGTCTTAACGGGGTTTGACTGTGCTGTAGTGTATATGATCAGGAAATGAGTGTAAAAATTTAATCATGCGACTATCCGGAAGTGCCAATCGCTTGATTTCCGCTTTACCCTTCGGTCCATGCAGGAGTTGGTTGCGGGGATTTTATTGGTCTTGCTATGGATGCTGGCCACAATTCCCTGGACGATTGCTGTGACCGCCTTGTTGAAAGATGTGCATTCCGACGGGTATTTATCTGCGAGAAACTGGGATGGGCGTTTTCACAACGAGAAAGTGCGTAGTTTGGCAAACGGTGGATTCCTGGGCCTCACTGTGTCCGTGGTAATGCATTTGCCGAAAGCCGGCCCGTTTATTTGAGAAAAACAAAATAATTTTCTTGTCGATTTGTTTTAGTTCCTTGGATTCTTGAACGTGTTGTGTTGGGCCGAGCTGGTTTGGCACGAGGTGAAAGAACTGAAAGTCTTGAGGAGCAAGGAGATGGAGGATGACGAGTCTATAGAAATGGCGGTATTCTGATGAGGCTGCGAAGAGGCTTGTGATTTTCTTTGCAAGATGTCTGCGATGCGATGCGTTTTTTTTATTGTTCAGTATTCTGCTTTGCATTAGCATTTTTTCCGCTTGGCTGTGCTCAACTGTGGTAATGGAGAATAATAACCTGTTGCTTCTGTGTCGTGACGTGGATTCCTGTTTTACATACGCCTTCATTGTTGTTGTTGTTGTTCTCATTTCAGGCTGTTACTGTATCGGGAACGTGACCTTTGGTTATTTTTTTTGTGCGCGTTCATGTTTCATTAAAATATCCGAAACGTGTATCTCGTTTTGGACGTTTGGCGAAAGAGGAATCCGTGTGCCGGGATGGCAAAACTCGTTTCCGTGGTTCGTGATGAAAATTGTTTCCAGTTCGATCGACGCCAGCTGCCCTTGCGCATCGACGACAACTTGATGGTTAGTCTTATTCGAATGCTTGCAGAGCTTTTGGGTTTTACTTCTGGGAAGGCTCTCTTTTTTTTTATTTGAGCGATTCTTCCTAGTTCAAGATACAGCATATTTTATGTAGAATTTGTAGTCGGGGTAAAACGTGTTATACATTTAGGTCAATTCACGGCGAAATTCTTGGCGCGTGTATGGTTCAAAAGTCTTGCCGGTCTTTCGCACCGGTACTTCGATGTCATTTCAACAGAGTAAAATAAAGTCTCATTGCAACCAATTTTTCTCAATTCCCGACAGGAAGCCAATGGAGTACGCGTTAAAATAATCTTTTTACGACTAACTTTTAAATTTCAGTGAAACAAACTTTTTTCAGGAATAATAATTGATTTTCCGGGTAGAAATTGCCTGACTAACGCAGGCAAAGTCAGAAATTTCCAATCAATCCCAAATGTGACTAACTGGTTCTTATCGTTGCATGGATGGAAGCTGTAATCAATAACAAACATGGTTCCAAGTGGTTCCATTCACATCAGTTCTTCCAGAATGAAGAGAGTGGTGCAAGTGATGGAATGAATGATCAAAGCTAATTCTTATTCTTCAGAAGACCACGCAGTTTTTCAAAAATGAGAAGAAAATCTGAAAATGTCAGGAAAACAACGTCTAATTGTCTGTAGGCATGTCTGATGTGAAAAATTATTTCCAGGCATTAATTATCAAAATCTTATTACTAAAAAATTTGGTTTTTAGTGTCATGAACTTTTTCTGAAATCCCCGATTGTTTGTTAATTGTGACAAGATTTTAATGCACATAAAATAAACAAATTTTCATTGCCCAATTTATTGGTCAGCTTTCCAGAAAACCACTCAGTTTTCAAATAATAAAAAACCTGACGATGCCAGGAAAATAAGATCTAAATTGATTTCTTTTCCATATCTGGTGTGAAAATTGTTTCGAGTGATTAATTGTGTAAATCTCGTTATAACAAATTCTTCAGAAATGACGAACTTTTTGTGAAGTCCCAAAAAGTTTGTTGTAACGAGATTTTAATATTTTATATGTAGCATTCCTCCTACATTGTCCCTCAAATTTTTGCCCACCAAGGTTATAGTGGGTAGAAGCCAGAGATTCCCGTTAACTACGTCTTTTTATTGTGCCAAGCTCTCTTCGTGTCACATTTGAATTTTGTTTTCTATGGCTTTGGTGGTGGTCTGGTGGTTTTTAATTTTCATGCCACGTCAATTGCAGTATTTTAAGCAAGCGAAAAATCACTCAGGGTAAGATGGCCCACATCTTGAAACCGTGTGACAAAGAAGAAAAAAAAAAGAATTGTGCTTGTGATGCTGAATTGGGAAAGTCGACCGAAATCTGCCCATGTTCAGCTGGCTATTGAAAATCATTTTGAGCGAGTGAAGAGAGGGATTAAGTTGAGCCTTCGTGTTGATATCCCACAGTGGTTTGGAGGAAGCTTCTTACGGAGAAGGTTTCCTATTGACAACATCCTGACGGTGCTTCACCTTTAAGCACCCTTCTTTGATGAGATAAAAAAAAATGCATTATAGTCGGGGAAGATGAAGGTGAGCGTGTAAAAGTGAGGTTGAATGAGGTGTTGCAGAATTGTTTTCTCTGCGTTGATTCCCGATGCTCGAAGACAATTCATGAAAGTTTATTCAAGATTCATAAAGCTATGCATCACAGTGAAATTCCTCCACGAAGAATCTCGTTACAACGACTTTGTCGTTAGAGCCAATTTTTTTCTTGGTCCCAACAGTTTTCATACAGGCGCCTTGGTATAAAAATCTCGTTTAAACGAAGTCAGTTTAGGCTTTAATCTCAGTACTGTATAACGAGGTTTTTTTCCCCTTGCTTCTGTGCACATGAAATATGGATAATTCGATGAATGGCAGAGAAGTGGTGGACAAAATTTGAACTCGTGCAGCATTCCAACTTCATCAAAGAAGCAAAACTTTTATATAGAGAACATTTAATGTTCAAAAAACACAATAAAACGTGTTTTGTGGAAATTTTTTTAGTTCAGTTTGAGAATGTGTGCCTGAGAAGGTATTCTTTGAAATGAACAGTATGTTGAAAAGAATTTCCCTCCGTTGTAAAGAACAAATGTGCATGAATGAATGAGTTGATTCAGAAAGAATTACAGTATTTTTTGTTTAATTTTCTTCTTCAAAACAAATGGCATTTCAGCAGTAAAGGAGGTTCAATAAAGGAAACGCACCTTATGTGCAAAAATTTTCCTCAGTTCCATGAGAGAGAGAGAGAGACTAAAGAAATTATCACAGGTTTTAATTGATCTGTAGTACAGTGCAATATTTATCACACCCACTTCCCACCAAAATTCAAGCCTCAATTGTGTTTAAACACCAATGAATCTCGGATGCAACGAATTGGATGTATCTGGTGCCTCTGTGTGTGTGTGTTGAATGTAACGAGTCTGATGGATTTTTCCAGATGATCATGCAAGTGAAAGACTCGAGCATAACGAGTTGTGCTGCGTGCGACCGCGCCGTGGTGAAGCCGAAGGACGTGGACAAGTTCCTCGCCAAGTACGAGAAGCTGAATGCGAAAGAGCTGGAAGCTGCCTTGAAGGTGTCGAGTCACGATTTGTTTCGGCAATTGGCGGCGTCGGTGCCGTGTGTTGGGTGCAGGAGAAGGTGAGCGAGTCGTCCGCCCCCCCCCCTTTTTTTTTTCCTTTTTTTTTTTTCTTCTTGCGAATGGCGTCATTTACCTGCTGCATTCCATTCCGTCTTTCTTTCGGCCGAAAAGGCAGCGCTTTCAGCCTCTCTCCGTCGACTCGACGACTCAGACGGTATTACAATGGAAGATTGCTCAATCTGCTCTCCTGTTGCAAATGCGAATTTGGAAGCTTTCTCATTCTCTTGCTGAGGGGGAAACCCCAAGAAGGAAAGGCTTCTAGAAGTAAATTGAATATTAATTACGCCTACAGTACAATAATCCCCTGCGTATTTGTGTGGATGATTGTTCACAATAGATGCGAGGCGAGGATTGTCGGCACAAATCAAACCTCGATAAGCCGCCACCGTTTGTTTGTGGCGGTTTAGCATGGGGTTATTGGTTTATCCAAAGTGCTGGAGTAATATAAAAATTATGCACCGTATGACCGGGAGAAAATTCTTATTCTTTTAGAAAACAATCAGAATAACCATGGAATGCGTAAATTATGTATTTGTCTAATGTTTCCAAGAAGTAGATTATCTCATCGTTTGTCTAATTTTTTTTTAATGGAAGACTTCCAACAAAAAATTGAATCTTGTTTGCGGGCTATGGAAGAAAAAAATAATTAGCAGGATCATATTTGCAATAATTTTGGTGTATGGCTTTTTTAATGGGGTTTCCAATGCTTTTTACCTTAAGATGAGATTTAAAAAATAATAATAATTGGCGGTTTCCGAGGGTGTCAGCTTCCCGATGGGCAATCTCAACGAGGTTTGACCATATTTCAAAGCTAAACATAAAGTGATGAAGGTGGGGTAAAATTGCTTCTGTAGTCTTATTCCAAATATTTAACACTTTGTGAAAATTCACCAAGGACCGAATAACCCCGTTTATGCTGCAACCGAAATAACGCTAATGAGCACGTAGACGCAAGATGAATATAAAAGGCGAATAAAACTGGATGCACCTTATTGTCGAATGGAAAATGCCATTGTAACGTCTTACCACTCGAAAACAATTGATTCTCGTTGTGGACAAAGTAAAAGCTCCCTCCCACGCGAATTTTCCATTGCACAGGGACTTCTTGATTGAATTCGGATTACTGTATAAACAATAGATTTTTATACTCGAAAAAATTTTTAATCTTGTCTTGAAAAACAATTCTAGATTTTTCTTGTCATTGTGGGATACTCAATGAGGTTTTTTTCTTTTAAACAAATTCATTATTGTGTGTGTCGACGGATCTGTGTGAAATTGATCGCGGCTGACTAAACTCGATAGATGGAGTGTTGGTCTTTTTTTTCTTCTGATATTTATCTTGTATTTCATAATTTATTTATACTTTTTTCCCCCCGACATCAGTGTGGAACGGCTGTTTACCGACCTTCGGGAGAGCGGGTACCCTGCCCTCGAGCCCGTGGTCGTGACCAATGATGCTTGTGTGGTGCTCTCGTCGGAGTTCCTGTGCGCAGGAAAATCCCTTGCCTCGCTTTTCCAAGTTCACGGCTCAAAGCTTGGTACTATTTTGAAGGGGCTTCTCAGGTCGAAGAAGACGCAGCGTTGCGTCCTGCACTCGTTGGACGTCCAGCGAGCCCGACCCCTCAACAACTGGCTTGAGGTGCCTCCTCATGTCTTTTTTTTCTTTTATGCTTGCCATACCTCGAGACACGAAAATGATTTCTAATTGAGTTTGTGTGATGATGGACGCAAAATTGAATAATTTTCCTTTGTATAAATTGGTGTCCTCTTCGAATCCATGAATTTAGCCCAAAGCGTAAAACTATAAATTTTGTCCTTTTTATTTTTTTCAAAGCTGATTCTTTATATTCAACTCTTGACAAGCTTCAGAGACTCCTTTGAAAGAAGCATACAATTTTATTTTACCTTTGAAAATTGGGCGAAATTACATAGTCGTGGGAATAATCTGGACGGAATTTTCCATTTACCATACAATGTAATTTTAATTAATCGTGAATATTTTGTCGTGCATCATGCTGTTTTAACCGTTAGTGCTGTTTTCTGTTCGTGATGCCGAAAATTTTCTCACGCTCAGGTGGGGGGAAAAAAAGGATTTTCGTTTTTAAAAAATAAATAAAGCTACCCTGATGATAGATATTGAGATTTTTTGTTTTATTTGAAAGTTTAGTGTTTAAAAAAAAAGAGAGACCCAGGCGTGAGTTTTGATAGATAATACGGTAACGGTTTTTGCGGTTGGAATGCTTCCTCACGCGCAGGTGTGGGACTCGATGAGTCGCGAGTGCAGAGACGCAGTGGTGCAAATCCAGGCCGAGATGCTGCAGGAGACGTTGGAGGCGTATTTGCGGAAGCACCGGTTTTGCCTCGAGTGCCGGTCGAAGGTGTTGCGAGCCTACAGCATTTTGGTGGGTGACGCGGATCCGTCCAAAGAAAAGGGCTACTTGCCGTCTCTGTACGAGGGGATCCGCATCTGCCCGCCGCCCGATAAACACATCCACGTTCAGGCCTCGCCCGAGTTCATAGACGCTCTGATTGCTCGGGCGGAACCGGAACTCATGGGGAAGTGCGTTGTTTCCATTATTATTTTTTTTTAACGATTTTTTCTCTTTCTTTCTTTCCTGTTTCGAATTGACTTGCGTGGTGTGTGCTACAGTAATTACGGTTGAACGTGATGTGTGGCCTAGGACCAGTTCGTGTTTTTCCCAAAAGAATTATTTTTTTACTGTATTATTTTCAGAAATACGGAAGGTTGACTGATGCAATTGGGCTCAAACGAATGTTTAGTTCTTTTCGTATTTTCAGATGATTATGATGTATTTTTGTTTCTCTGTTCAGAAAAATTAAAGAAATTTGTGTTCGTTTCTTATTTGTTCTAGTCTCATGATTCAAGTATTTTTGTGAATAATTTTAAAAACAAGAGAAGATTACGTGTGTGCTACTCCCGATTTAACGCGAGTGATTTATTAATTTTGCCTTTTCAAAATTCAGTTCTCATCCTATTTTTCGGCATTTCTGGAAAATAACATTCGTGTTGTTTTTTTTTGTTGCAGCAATTTGGAGACGGGTCGAAGAGAGAGACATGCCAAAACAATCGAAATTGCTCAGGAAGAGGTTCTGACATGCTTGGGAATTTGTCTTTACGAGAGGTTGCACAAAATTCAGCAAAGAACCTGCGAAGAGGAGCTCACTTGGGAGCTTCTCTTTTGCATCTCTCTGGAGGTTCTCCAGAAAAACTTCGAAGTGAGTTTTTATTTTTGTAATCTTTGCATTGGTACGAAAAACCGTCAGAGGAAAAATTTTGCGTTTTGAATTTTGGACGTATAGTATTGGAAAAAAAAAGATTTATAATGAACTAATGCCTTTTGATTATTTTCTTGCTTCGTAATTTTGTACTGTATTTCTTGATGAATACGAGCGAACGAAATTTTGTCAGTTGGCAGTTGAGAAGAAGTTGGGGATTAGTCAGCTGGAGCTCATCTGCCAAGAGATGGAGCGAGAAGAACAGGAGAAGCAGCAGCGGAAAGAGCAGAAGCGCCTGCGGAAAAAGCAAAAGAAGCAGTTGCGCGAGAAGAAACCCAACGAATGCTCCACTGGTGACGCCAGTGTCGAGGCGTCCGCTTCGCCGTCTCCAGCTTCCTCCGTCTCCAACAGCCCTCAAACCACTGTAAGGCTTCATTGTTTCGTATGCTTAATTCCCATCAATGTTCTGTGACAAACTAAGATAGAGGCCAAGTTACTTTACAGTTTATACGTGTGATTTACTGATGATTTTTCCGTCGAAACAGTTGAAGGCGAAAAAAGTGGAGGAAGAAGGGGAATCCGTTGTTCTAACCGCCATTACGACGCCTGTGATCCGGCGACGAAGTGACGGAAGTATCACAGCGATGGACCCCCCCAATTGTGTGCTAGTTACTGGCTTTGATCATCCCGACGACGAAGACTTTGAACCCGTCAAGTCCCGGAAAACCCGCCAACAGCATGTGAGTGCTTTGAAAGCTAAAAAGTGGTCTCCAGTTTTCACTTACAGTATTGTACTGTATTCGGTTTTTCAAATGTATGATGGAGTCCTGTGGTTACCCAAGCTTGAGTTTAGTGTCTTGAAGCCAGCCCTCTTGAAATTTTCGAAGGATTCTGTCGAGTTGCATCGCTACATTGGAAACTTCTTGATAAAAAAATTTTAATCTTGGGCCAACCCTCACATTTGGCAACACTGCATCGAAAATTTCGAAAATCACAAATTCATTTTTGTTTCTGTTTTAATTTCTTGATTATGTTGTGTAAATCGTGGATTCATCAATACTGATGTCTATGCGTGGGTTGTTTTGCCGACAGGCGAAGAAACAGGCCAAGAATCAACCGAAATCGCCGCGGGCGGAAAGCCTGACGTCGACAACGCGTCGGAAGCGAGGAAACCGCGGGCGACGCGGGGGCGCCTCGCGTTCGTCGGCAACATGGAACGACCAGAAACGCGACGCGTCGACGGCAGTGGTGCACGACGGCAGTTGGGCACACGTGACAGCTGCGTCGGCAACCAAAGCAAGAACGATTGTGACTGTCGCTGGCCCGGAAAGCGTGGTTGACCGCAAAGACCTCGTGTCGGTGCCGCCAAAGGACGACTTCGACTGCTGCTCCTCCTGCATCTCCAGCGCGTGTAGCAACGACATTGGCTCGTCTGAGGGCTCGGACGCCTGCTCGGAAGGATTCTGCAATCATAAAAGTGCGTTTCTGTTCTGTTCTGTTGAATGTTGGATTGATGACATTTTCTAGCTCCCTGGGCTGCAATCGTGGTGTTTTTCTCGCTTTTCGTTCAATATTTGAAAGACACTGCAACTGCGAACTTTCTTCCCTTCTGGGCGTGGATTTGATGATAACCTGATGTTAAAAAAAAAAAAATTTAGAAAATTGACCAATTTTTTTTTTGAAGGTGAATGCACTGCTGGCATGATTGCGGATGAAGAAGACGAATTGGAAGAAAACGAAGAGCTTGAAGACGAGAAGCCGGATTTCGAAGACGCGTCGTTGACAGCAACTGGAAACGAGGAGGTTGTGTTTGCAACGTTACCGAAGCAGAACGTGATGGATACTTTGCCTCTGCCCAAGCAACACTGTCCGATGCCCGGCTACTTGTCGCTTCTAGACCAAATAGACGACGACGATGTAAGTTCTCGCTAATTTCCGTACTGACGAAACATGGGCGCCGATTCATAAATCAATCTTCTTTTTTTTTTATTTTATGACACCCTTCATGGAAATAGTTGAAAACTTTAGGTTAAACCTTCATTTTTCTGAACCAAATGCTGTGTTCTGTAGATTTGCCCTCGTTGAAAGATATTGAACCTCCGCGACACATTTCCTTGATGGAAAAGCAGAGTCGCCTCTCTTGTTACACCGCGCGGATTGGGACGACTGTTGTTTTTTTTTATGAATCAGCAACAGAATGAAACTGGATAGCTAGGTTTTATTCTTTAGCTTTTAATTATACTTCGTAGGTTATTTGTAGGTCCTCGAGAATCATGCACGGCACTTGTAGAGACCGTGAATCACAGTATCTGAACACATCACTGTGAGCCGTCGAGAAAATTGTTTCCGTGTAAATGTTGTAGGATCTCGAAGTTGTCTATCGTCGCCCAACATTTATTGAATCGTACCGTTTTCACACCTTGACTTCGAGTTAAAGTGGAAAAAAGTTTGTTTTCCTCTCTGGTTTGGTTTTGGACAATTTGTGTGATACAGTATATATATTTTTTTTCATTTTCTCACCTCTGTGTAATTTTTTACAGGGCGAAGACTTTTCAGACGCGGGAGAGTCTTTGATTCCGCCGGACGAAATCAGGAGCTTTGAACGGCTGGTCGGCGGCAAAGTCGAGGAGAAGCGCGCCAAACTGCGGGAGGACCTGAAGAAGCAGTTTGCTCGCTTGTGCGGCGTCAGCGACGTGGACGCCTTCCGAAAAGCCGCCCCGCCGTTTTAGTGTATTCCAGGCGGACGTTAATCCCGAAACACGACGTCTTGACCATGAAAGAAAAGCGGGGTCAAGAAGAAAAGCATGAATACGCGGGAGGAAAGCAAACAAACGAAACAAAAGAAAAAAGTTATGAAGTTTTTATGAGACAGTAAGCAATCGTAAAAGGAAAAAGGTAGATGTGGACGGAGGAGGAGGAGTCTTTCGTGATCTAGTGTATTGTTTGGGAGGGGGAAAGAAGTGGGGGTGGGACCACTCGAGGCAAAATGTCGTGACGCGTTCCCTGGCGGGCTTCCACGAAAGGTCCTCCTTCCTTCAGAACTCGGCATTCCGCATAAATTATAGTTTTCTTTTCAGTTTCGCGTCTCCACTTATTTTTCTTACGCCCGACAAACAGCTATTTAGTTGTCAGTTGTCCTCGGTTCATGTGCGTTGTTTTCGGCAGACGTCGAGTTCTGTGCAGTGTTTTCGTGCGATCTGTCGTCGCAAAGGAACCGGGATTTCCTTTCGACGACGACGAATTCCGAGTGAAAAAAAAAGCGAAAGAGGAAAAAGAGAAATCAGGTGCGATGGCGCAATGTTCGCGAAGGTCAAAGTAAGAAGCTGCAGCGATGCTGAAGGAAAAAAAAAATATGATACAGGAAAAAGAAAAGTGGTTCTGCATTACGAATCTTCTTGTGGTCTCTCAATTTTTTATGTGAATTTCAAAAAATTTTTCCCTCTTGATGAAAGTGTCCTTCTGTCCATTGCTACATCTGCAGGGTCGATATTTATTTTTGAGGAATGATTGGCAACACTTTTCTGAAAGGACCAGCGATTGTAGCAGGAATCGGCACCATGCAGACCCTTCTTTTGCACTGTTGAACTCACTCGGGAAAACTCGGCCGCCATGTCAGCGCATAAATGGAACTCAACGGGGTCCATTGAAGTGGACATGACTCAAACCCCCAAGAAGAATGGTGCAGATCACGGGTGAAGAGATTTTTTTCTTCCTTTTTTTTCGATATGATTTCTTGTTGTGATGACCGGGAAACTTTTGCAGACCATCCGGAGGAAAGCAAAAGTCTCGCAGCAGATACGACGACGCTTTGCGCAACTTCTTACCGATGGGACCTGCTCCGAAATCTCCGGAAGATGATCGACCGTGAGTTGACTTTTCCTTCATGAAAACATATCAGGAAACGAAATGGGGAAAGCTGGAAGTTTCAATTTGGCTGCCTTGGCCTTCACTTCCCGAACGGTATTTTGACGTGAAGAAAAAGTCTGCGAGAGTTTGGGACGCATCGATTACTTTCTTGCATCGTCAAGTGTGATCGTCGCAAGTTTTTTTTTTCTTTTCTTTTTTTTTTTGCAATAGTTGGTCGTGTTTACAGTAATGCAGTTGAAGGCATAAAATGAGGGAACCTTGTTGAAGCACTGCAATTGAATGAACTTTTAATTCGACGTTTTCAACATTGTCGTTCTAATTATTCAGCTAAAATACTCGTTTAGATCAATCTCAACCTCATATCGATCCATTCGTTGTATTAACTCTTTGAATTTTGTAGAAGAAAATTTTGGTTGCAATTTTTAGTTTTTTTTTATTGTTGTTGCAAATTTACATTTACGGGAAAACTTGTTTCGCTTGAAACGGCTGTGTGATGCAATCATGCTTCCTTCTTGGGACAAGTCATTCTTTTGAATTTCATTCAATTTTTTTTTCTACCTTCTCGGCAGGAACGTGAAAGTGATACCAAATGGATCTGTCAGCGTGTTTTCGTACCTGTGGGCAAACTGGTTGTCAGCAACAATGTGGAAAGCGTGGAAGACTGGCCTGAGTCCAGATGATTTGTGGGATCTCCGCGGCGCGGACAAGAGCGAGGCGACGGCCAAGCGACTCCGTGCCGCCTGGGACGCCGAACTCAAAAAGAAAGGACCGCAGGAGGCGTCCTTGTTTTCAGCGTGTTTGAGAGCCATGAGAACCCGACTGCTCGTCTCTGTCGTCTTCATGATGATTTCCACCGTATTTCAGTTTCTTGCCCCCGTGAGTTGCTTTCTTTGAGTCTCGGGCCACTTACCCCGTATTTACTCGAGAACTGTACCAGGCGAAATTTTTTTTTCGCGAAAAAATCTGAGAGGGTTAGAAAAATGGGGATGCGCGTCATGGGCGGGGGTAGAATGTTCTTAAAATATTAGTTAGGTGTGCGTTACATTTGAATTTTTTGCGGAAACTTTTCAATTGAATTCAGGTTTCCGAATTTGAATTCTCGTGTTCTTTTATTTTTGATAGTACAGTATCCTAGTACCTAGTTTTTCAGTCGCTAAAAATGGTGTGCGTGCATTACTCAGGGATAGGATTTCGTCAGAACTTCAGGGTTAAAAATTGGACTGCATGTGGTAATCGAGCGAATACGGTATTTCGCCTGCCTGTGGTCTGGCCACACACCAAGCAAACAAATGAAGTAAAATAAGAATTTCTTCTTGTACACTGGTGAGTGAATGGTTTTTTTTTTCTTTTTTTTAGAATGCCCTTTTCGAGACACGGCAGTCTTTTCTTTTTCGCATTGTCAGTTTCAGGTACAGTAGTCGACCTCATTGCCTTGTACTACGAAATGTATCTCACGATCGAGTTGAAAGGGGTTTTAAGAACCATTGGCCAGTTGCCTCTGTGATCAGCATCAGTTGAACAAATGAAGAAACCCGTTTTTCACGTTATACGATGTCGTGAGGAGTTGTTTATTTTTTGCAGACTTGGGTGGTGAAATCGCTGCTGGACTTCGTGGCGAGCAACGGGAACGCGGACGCCGCCGAGCGACTGCCCCTGTCCTGGGGCCTGACGTTGGTGGCCCTGCTGGCGTGTTGCCTGTTGGCGCGGAACGTGACGCAGAACGCCATGCTGGCAGTGGGCGCTCACACTGGCGCACGGGTCATTGGCGGACTCCAAGTGCTGGCCTATGAGCGCGTGTTGTCGTGGCGAACTGCCGCCGGCGATTCGGACTTGCTGGTGGGCCAGCTAACCAACTTTTGCGCCAACGACATGGACCGAGTCCTGGAGGCTGTGTATCTGGCGCCGATGATCATGTCGGTGCCGGTGATGTTTGTAGCGTGCATGGCCTACGCCATCCACATCATGGGCGCCTGGGTCCTCTTGGGCATTTTCACCATTTTCCTCTTTTATCCGCTCATGTCCGGACTGGCGGCGTTCGTGTCGCGGTCGCGGCAGGTGACGGCGCGTCTGACGGACAAGAGGATCTCTCTGGTCGGCGAACTCTGCGCGCATATTCGGCTCGTCAAGATCTACGCCTGGGAACAGTACTTGAAAGAACGCATCAATGGTACTTGTATATTGAACATTTTTCGTTTTTTATTTTATTTTTTATTTTCGTTGCCATTCGCTGCTCGTGTGCGTTTTCCTTTTTTTTCGAGGCAATTGTTGTCATCAATATCAATATGAGTGTGTTGTGATGAACAAATAACTTTTGATCAGACGATTGGCGATGAATAATTTTTTGTCGATGGGATGTTTACCATGTTGCCAAAACACGGAAGTCCTAAATTGTTCCTTTGAAAAGCAACAAGAAATTCGATCATGTGATTGGGAGATGGATATAATGTTCAAATTTTTAGTCGAAAAATTGCAAAATGTATGAATGGTAGTGACCATAGTTCAAAGCAGATAATCAGGACCGAATTCATCTTTTTCGCATTAATACGATAGATTATTTATTTTATATTTGACCATTATTTCGTACCAGCCCCAGGAAGAAATCTACTGCATTAAACCCAATAAATTCGCTTTTGCGTGTGTATAAAGTTTAATTTTTGAATTGTCTCTTATCCTCGAAAGATCTGCGCAAACCGGAACAGAAGGCGCAAGAAAAAGCGGCATTTTTGCAGAGCATTACGATGACCTTGACGGGATCGGTGGCAATTTTGGCAGCAGTCGTGACGTTTTTGGCGTATAGCTTGGCCGGAAACGAGTTGGACGCAGCCGCGGTTTTTACGGTTTTTTCCATTTTCGGTGCCTTTCAATTTTCGCTCGGAATCTTGCCACAAACAGTTCGAGTTATTGCTGAAGCTGCCGTTGCCCTTCGACGACTCAAGGTGAGCAGTTGATTTCCTTTGGAGTCTGATTTAATTTATTGATTTATTTATTGTTCACTGCGACGTACGAGGATCGGCGTGTTGACATTGTGCCAGTACAGCACATTAATTATACTTTGACAGAATTGCGCATGAACTTTCCAACTTCTCTGAAAAAAAGCATCAACTAATCAATACTGTAAAGTGTGCAGTATTTCACCAATCGGGGTCTCTCTCGTTTGATTTTGCAGAAGTTAATCCTGTTCGATCCTCCGGAAATCGGTGCTGCCGGCTTGTCGCACGATCCCTGCAATGCGATCGAATTGGAGAAGGCGAGCTTCGTGTGGGACACGGAGAACTGGGAAAGCGTGGACGAAACCCCGGTTAAGAAGAAGAATAAGAAGAAGAAAGCGGCGCGTGGAAGACGGAACAAGAAGGTGGAGAATGGAACAGTGAATCAAAAGCTGGAAGAAGAAGAACAAGTTGAACTCAATACAAGCGTGCCAGAGGACAAGAAAATCAAAGAGAATCTCGTCTTGAAAGACATCAACTTGGTTGTGCCTCGCCAAGGACTCGTGGGGCTTTGTGGCCCAGTCGGTTGTGGGAAGTCCTCGCTTATCGCTGCCATCTCGGGCAATGTAAGTTTTTCCTTTGATATTGGATGTTGGGGGTTTGCATCGAGAACCGCGGTCATAATTAATGATCTTCCAAGGAGAGAAATGAGTAAACAAAGCTTGAAAAATAAAATTTAGAGTTTGACCTCGAACATCCGCGCTCTGTCATTCATTTTTCCTTCGTCGAGGAATATTGTACAATACAGTTGCTTAAAAACGTCTCGGCATCTATTCGACAATAATTTTGATGCCCTGCTGCGTGTATTTATCCAATATTCGAGGCCCTGAAAACTGTGAATTTTCCCACCGCCAATTACAGTCGAACCCCGACTTACCTGTGATTCGACTTGGGAACACTTGCAACCTTGAAAATCTGCCCAGGCATCCGGACAATATCTCGAGATACGGACACTTTTCCAACGTTTCTAGGAAACCGAAAACATTTTCTTTTTCGAAACTTGGGTATATCTGGAAAAAATTATGCTACTTTATGTTCACAAAAATTAAGAAAAAACTCATAAATAACCATAACTCAACTTCATCTTCAAAACGGGTTAAATCTGAGCTTTTTTGTTTTTCCATCATCTGTGCACAGTTCAGCAAGACTTTATTCTGTTCTTCGCTTCTTGTGATCCTTTTTTTGCTAAAAGATTAGATTATGCTTGGGTTCCTTCTGCGCAAATATTTTCTGTAAGCTGAAAAATTATTTTATTCATTTTTTTTTTTTCATAATTTTTGATCAACAGGAGAACGAAGAAGTATGGTATATATAATTTCCAATGAATTCGGAAGGAAAACATGACGCGAAACGTGGACGCTACATTGCTTGCACACGCACTCTCTTACGGCACATTTGCAAATATTTGCACACAACTACCTGTTTCAAAAAGGAAAGCCTTTTGAAGACAGTCCATTGTTTAAACTGTATATTTACTTTTCGCAGTTGCGTGAGGTGAAGAGCGAGAATTGCCGTCGAATTTCCGGGCGAATCGCCGTCGTGTCGCAAACCCCGTGGATCTTCAACGCGACCTTGCGTGAGAACGTTCTTTTCGGGCTGGACTACGACGCGGAACGGTACGAGCGAGTGTTGGAGGCGTGTTGCTTGCAGCGGGACGTCGACTCGTTGCCCAACGGCGACGAGACGGAGATTGGCGAGAGGGGAGTGAATCTCAGCGGAGGGCAGAAGCAGCGGGTCAATTTGGCGAGGGCTGTGTACGCCGACAGAGATATTTATTTATTGGGTATGAGTCTTGTCTTTTTTATTATTTTTTGGTATTGCACTTTTTTCGGATTGCAAAGACATTTTCCACCTGTCGTGATCCGAAGACTGAATATTTTTGTGAATGCGAATGTCGCTGTTTTCGTCTAGTCTTATTCGAACGAACTTGGAATTTTTCATTTGCTCTGTTTTGAATGCGACTTGCAAAGCATTCGTGATTTTTTGGGCGATCACTGAAGAAAATTTTGGTTAATTTCTGTATACATTTGGTACCCTTAAGATCTTGACGCAGAATTTTTCTTTCCGAACATGACGCACTTGGTATCGAATTTTTTTCCCATCATAATTCCTGGCAGTATAATTATGTGGGTAGATTACGTTTCAAGGTGAAATAACCGGTTTCTGATGGTGTACTTGATTTATTCATTTTTTAATTGACTTGTGAGTAACAGTTGGATTCCCACGTTTTATGCAGATGATTGTCTTAGTGCTGTTGATCCGGAAGTATCTCGGGACATTTTTGCGTTGTGCATCCGAGGCCTGTTGAAAGGCAAAGCTGTGCTGCTTGCATCACATTCCTTGCAGGTACATTTTTGGATTGTTTTTCTCAATTGTTATCTGGCTTGGATGATTATGGTGTCGTGATGAACAGTTTGTCAGCTGTTTTTTTTTTTTTTTTTTTTTTTTTATTTTTTTTTTTNTGTCGTGATGAACAGTTTGTCAGCTGTTTTTTTTTTTTTTTTTTTTTTTTTTTTAAATACAGTACAGTATCGTAGTGTACATTACGTGAAAGTGGCTGCGCAGTTTTTAAAGCACTTGGCAGGTTTGCTGTAGACTTGAAGATGCGGAGTAGGCGGAGTTTACGTTTGTCGCAGAAAACAAACTAATGTACGAGATTGCTGAGTTGAAAATTCATAAACAAACAACAGCAACAAAAATAAATGCGCTGTAGTTGGGAACTGTGCACTCATTTCATGCTTCGCATTTCCGTTGGGGCGTAATTAGGAAGTGCTTTGAAGTAACGATAACAATTTCGAGAGTGTTTGAAAAATTACTCGAAGCAGGAATGCTCAAAACCTATTTGCACGTTTCTCAGGGTTTTCAAGTTTGATGACCAGCTGAAGCTTCTCTTCTCATGTTACGACGTGGACATTGACCCTACAATACATTTTTTTTTAAATAACCTAAATTTGCGTGTTCCAAAAGAGCTTTAGGATATCCCATATTTATTTCGAAATACAGTTTTTTTTAAATTTCATTTTGAAAATGTCGGAACACGAGCCTTTTCATTTTGTCGTTGGCAGCTGCTGGAAGAATGTGGTTACGTGTACTACTTGGAAGGCGGCAGGATCGCCAGCGAGGGTCTGTACGAAGACCTGGTGGCCGACACTGAAGGCCGCTTCATGAGCCTGGTCAAGTACGACAGGACCCGAGGCCTGAAGGGCGGCGCCGAGTCCCGCCGAGCTGCAACAGGAGGCGGCGGTGGAGAAGCGGACGCTG